AGGATGGCCCAAGTCATTGGGCTCCTGCACACACGTGGGAGACCCGGAGGAGGCTCCTGGCTCTTGACTTCGGATCACCTCAGCTACAGCCGTTGTGGCCATCTGGGGAGTGAACCAGCAGATGGAAAACCTCTCTGTCTCTACCTCTCTCTGTAGCTCTGTCTTTCAAATAAATAACATAAATCTTAAAAAAAAAAAAAAAAAAGTCTTGGGGCTGGCGCTGTGGCCCAGGGGGTTAATGCCCTGGCCTGAAGCACCAGCATCCCATATGGGCACCAGTCTGAGTTCCGGCTGCTCCACTTCCAATCCAGCTCTCTGCTATGGCCTGGGAAAGCAGTAGAAGATGGCCCAAGTCCTTGGGCCCCTACATGCACATGGGAGACCCAGAAGAAGCTCCTGGCTCCTAGCTTGAGAATGGCCCAGTTCCAGCCATTGTGGCCAATTAGGGAGTGACCCAGCGGACGGAAGACCTCTCTCTCTCTCTGCCTCTCCTCTCTCTGTGTAACTCTGACTCTCAAGTGAAAAATAAATAAATCTTTAAAAAAAAAAGTCTTAAGGCAAATTGTCTGCTTAAAAAATTTAAAAAAATAAATCACAGTGTTCTTTTGCCTACTGTCAAAGTAATTATACCAAATAGAGTGATCATTAATGAAATTATTGGAGATCAGGCTTGATGTTTAAAAATAAAATATAAATCCACTTTAAAGAGGTAATGTGGGGGTTGGCACTGTGGTGTAGTGGGTAAAGCTGCTGCCTGCAGTGCCGGCATCCCATATGGGCACTGGTTCAAGTCCTGAGTCCTGGATGTTCCATTTCTAATCCATCTCCCTGCTAATTTGCCTGGGAAAGCAGCAGAAGATGGCCAAAGTCCTTGGGTCCCCGCACCCACGTGGGAGACTGGGTGAAGCTCCTGGCTCTGGACTTCAGCCTGGTCCAAAAGCCTGGTCCAACTCTGGCTGTTGTGGCCATTTGGGGAATAAACCAGCAGATGGAAGGAAGACCTCTCTGTCTCTGCCTCTGCCTCTCCTTTTTTTTTTTTTTTTTAAGATTTATTTATCGCCAGCGCCACGGTAGCTCCATAGGCTAGTCCTCCGCCTGTGGCGCCGGCAAACCGGGTTCTAGTCCCGGTCGGGGCACTGGATTCTGTCCCGGTTGCTCCTCTTCCTGTCCAGCTCTCTGCTGTGGCCCAGGAGTGCAGTGGAGGATGGCCCAAGTGCTTGGGTCCTGCACCCGCATGGAAGACCAGGAGAAGCACCTACCTCCTGGCTTTGGATCAATGCAGTGCGCCAGCCATAGCGCACCGGCCGCAGAGGCCATTGGGGGGTGAACCAACGGAAAAGGAAGACCTTTCTCTCTGTCTCTCTCTCTCTCACTGTCCACTCTGCCTGTCAAAAAAAAAAAAAAAAGATTTATTTATTTTACTTGAAAGTCATAGTTACACAGAGAGAGAGGGAGAAGCAGAGAGAGAGAAAGAAACCTTCCATCTGCTGGTTCAGTTCCCAAATGGCCGCAAAGGCCGGAGCTGCGCCGATCTGGAGCCAGGAGCCAGGAGTTTCTTCCAGATCTTCCACGTGGGTGCAGGGGCCCAAGGACTTGGGCCATCTTCCACTGCTTTCCCAGGCCATAGCAGAGAGCTGGATTAGAAGTGGAACAGCCAGAACTCAGACCGGCGCCCATATGGGATGCCGGCACTGCAGGCGGCGGCTTTACCCGCTACACCACAGTGCCGGCCCCCTGTCTCTCCTTCTATGTAACATTAACTTACAAATAAAATAAATAAATCTTTTTTGTTTGTTTGTTTGACAGGCAGAGTTAGACAGTGAGAGAGAGAGAGACAGAGAAAAAGGTCTTCCTTCCATTGGTTTACTCCCCAAATGGCCACCACGGCCCGCACACTGCGCTGATCCGAAGCCAGAGCCAGGTGCTTCCTCCTGGTCTCCCATGCGGGTGCAGGGCCCAAGCACCTAGGCCATCCTCCACTGCCCTCCCGGGCCACAGCAGAGAACTAGACTGGAAGAAGTGCAACCAGGACTAGAACCGGTGCCCACATGGGATGTCGGTGCCACAGGTGGAAGATTAACCAAGTGAGCCATGGCACTGGCCCCATAAGTAAATGTTTAAAAAAAATTTTAAGAAAAGGTAATGTTAATTTTCCACCAAACTTTTGATGAACTTTTGTACTTCTTAAAAACTGTACATTATGACATAACATCAGATAAATTAGATTCATTAAAACACTAATGTGTTTTAATAAAACAAAAATTCATCAATTAAAACTTCCCAGAAATCTCCAAAAGCTATAAAAAACCAGCCACTCACTAACACAAAGGGTTTTCCAAAAATTTATAGGAAATATGTATTATGACAAAACTATGCATGGATTTTTAAAAATTCTATCAAACTAAACTCATCTTTGAATTCCACTTTCCACAAAATTTTTGAAGTATCCATGAAATTACTGGGAACTTTATGAAGGGATATAAGACATATGTGTTTTAGAGAACTTGTATCAGAAGTCTTCTCCACTTTGTCCTTTTTAAAATATATATATTTATTTTTCTTTATTTATTTGAAATGCAGAGAGAGAGACAGAGATATCTTCCATCTGCTGGTTCACTCCCAAATGCCTGCAACAGCCAGGACTGGGCCAGGCCAAAATCATGAACCAGGGTCTCCCATGTGGGTAGCAGGGACCCAAATAATCAGACCATATTTGCTGCCTCCCAGGGTCTGCATTAGCAGGAAGTTAGATTGAAAGTGGAGGCAGAGTGCAAACCCAGGCACTCTGATACGGAACGCAGGTATCCCAGGTGGTGGCTTAACTGCTGTGTCACAACAGCTGCCCTCCCCAGTTTTCCCTTTTGAGGTTTGAAATGAGTTGAGGGCAAATCTCCCACAAGCATAGTTCCTCCATTCTCTTCTGAAGGAGGATGCCAGGGAGAGGGATGATGAACAATCATATTGGCCAGCAGAGGGTGGTAGTGATGTCTTCTCTCATTATCTTTGGAGACAAGGGGTAGAAAAACAGAATGAAAGTAGAAAAGAGTTTAGAAGGTTGGTGTCACAAAACTAAGAGTCCTCAGGGTTAGTGTCTGGCACAGCAGTTCAGATGTGGCTTGGGATGCTCACATCCAGTGTCAAAGTGCTTGGGTTTAAGTCCCCAGTTATACTCCAAATTCCAACTTTCTACTAATTTGCACCCTGGTGGGGTGGGGAGGGGGGAAGGCCAGGTGATGGTTCAAGTACTTGGGTCCCTGCCACTCACTTGAGAGACCTGGATTGAATTTCTGGCTTGTGACTTTGGCCTGGCCCAGCCCTGGCTGTTGCAGGCAGGCATTTGGGGAATGAACCAGCAGATGGAAGATCTCTCTCTCTCTCTCTCTCTCTCTCTCTCTCTCTCTCCTTTAAAATAAAACAATAAAAAAGCTAAGAGTTCTCACACCAGCTAGGATGCCTGCATCCCACATGGGAATGTCTGGGTTTGAGCCTCAGCTCCACTCCCAATTCTTGCTTCCTACTAATGTGTACCCTGGGAGGCAGCAGGCAATGGTTCAACTAGTCGGGTCCCTTCCACCCACACATGAGACCCAGATTAAGCTTCCTGGTTTGGACCCGGCCCAGCCCTAACTCTTGTCAGCATTTGGGGAGTGAACCAGTGGACTGGAGCTCTGTCTGTCTCTGTCAGCTACCCTAGCTGGCCCGGAGTTAGCCCAGGGAAAAGGAGATACTCACTTACCACTGAAACCAAATATATGGATGGATACAACATTCTTTTAGGGCAAGAAATACAGTTTTAAGGTTTGGAAACTAAAATTGCCAATAATTCCCCTGCCGCCTGCCACCCCCATATAAGAACAGTGAGAACTCTCTAAATCTATTCCCTCATCCATAGATGTGGTTAATGGTTAAACCCCAATAGACAGCAAAGAATTCCCTGCATGTAAGCAAAGACATAGCTGGCAAGGGCACGCTGAGGTCAGCAGCCCCTCCCTGCAGCTTCATGTGTAGCCTTGTCTTGCACTGCCCAACACCCCACACCCTGTGCATCAGAAACTGCAGCTGTCATGAAACCACCACTTAGAACTAGCCAAAAAGAACCAATATGGCTGTCCATCGCATCTCTGTGATGACCTTTAGCTAATCACAACGTCATTATAATAAAATTAGCTTTAGCTAATTACAATGTCACTATGATAAAATTGCCATGGCTGACACTCCTACTTTCACCATGAACCTGACACCATGACACTTGGAGAGTTCCAAAGAAGGGCAAGGAAACAGCCCTAACTCAAAGCCTTCCCCAAACTCCACCCACTCCGAATATCCCATGTATGTTGCAACATAAATCTTCACGAGCTTCATCCAGACTCCCACATGGGTGCAGGAGCCCAAGCACTTGGCCATCTTCTGCAGTTTCCCCAGATGCTCAGCTGGGACTCCAACCAGCGCCCATACGGGATGCTGGTGTTGTGTGCGGCAGCTTAACTGGCCTGCGCCACAACGATGGAAGGGAAAAAATGTCTTCTGTAATATTGCCAACCTTCCCCCAACCCCGCCATGAAACCTATCCTAAGTCAGCCCGGAAACAACTATAAATGGTTCTGGAATTCTGAGGGAGTAACCGACCGGGGCATGAGACCACACGAGGCACGCTTGCCAAGGCGGGAAAGTGGTTGCGCACGCGCAGATCACTGCAGGAGGATGTATCACGTGTTCAGGCAGCACCACTAGACAAATAGGCACAGGGGTGGACAATCTCTAGTTTTTCTTACAGAGCCATTATTTGCTATAACAACACTGTTTCCTTTTATGTGAGTTTTATTTTCCTTAGTAATGATTATCTCGAGTCATATCTGTGCTCTCTGCCATCTAGAATTAAGGTGCCCCCAGCCTCTTTCTTCCCGGCACATCCCTCCTGTCGGTTTACATCCTTGAGCATCCCACTTATCTCAGCCAACCCTGTCGATATTTCGCACGTACGTCACCAGTTTCTGGGCAGATCAGGATATCATCCCGCCAGGAGCGTCGTTGCGCGCCGCCACCTGGCAGTGCTGTTAACGGTCTGAGAGTGTGAACGCGTGGCGGACGCCTGAGCGCAGAGCTGGAGAGGCGACCGATGACCCCGAGGAGCGGTGGCCGGACCAGCCGGGAACGGTCCTGCGGAGGCCAGGAGCACGCTGATGGCCGCTGCCGGGTGAGGAGTTCAGTCTTGCTGTGTTCCCGCAGTTTCTCTTCCGGCTTGAGCCGCGTTTCGTCACGTTTTACTGGGCCGGACCCCGCGAGGAACGATCGTTGAAGTATTTTCCCCCCACACATTTTTAAATGTTTTAAGTACGATCCGCCTTTAAAAGCCTTTTACGGCCACATCACGCACAGACCCCTCTCCCGGCGTAGACAGCAACTCCTTCCCGGCCTTCGGCCCTGTATCCGCATGGCACGCCGCGGCCCTCACGCGAACAATTTGTACATATTTTATCTTCGTTCATTTCTTCACTCATCCGTAGGCACTGATCGCCCACAAGGGTTCTGGGCGCGCGGGATCCCCTCTATTCTATTCACTATAAAAGCAAACGGCTCTGCCTTCCTGGCGCCTACAGCCCAGGGGGAAGCCTGACGCCTCGACAGGCCTTGCTAAGTACTAACGACCGAGCAAGATGGCGCCGGGCGACACAGACAAGATGTCCCCCAGGGAGGGTGTGCTGGGGACCGCCGGCCATGCAGGGTGGAGAAGCTGGTGGCCACCGGGGGGGGGGGGGGGGGGGGGCTCACTGCCGACATAAGTGGAAGTGGGTGGAGGAGGAGGAAGCGAATTCCAGGCAGAGGGAAAAGTCAGTGCGAAGGGTGGAACAGTTCGTAAAGTACTGCAAGAAACCCTTGCCTAGAAATGGAAGGTGAGAATCCCAGACTTGGACCCCAAGTCCAGTGCCTGCTGGGCAGCCGAAGCCATCTCATGTTTGACCCCTCTTACTGCCTACCCGTCTCCTGCCATCAGCCCCCCACTCCCTATGTGCTGCCCCCCCCAACACACATTGACTGGGAAGCAGACCTCGATTTCTTTTTAAAAAGATGTATTTTATTTATTTGAAAGGCAGAGTGAGGTCCACTCTCCAAATGATCCCAGTGAGGCTAAGAGCTAGGAACCCAGCTCTGTCCTGGTCTCCCAGGTGCAGGGACCCAAGGACTTAGGCCATCCTCTGCTGTCTTCCCAGGCACATGAGCAAGGAGCTGGCCCGGAAGCGGAGCAGCCGGGACTCCAGCCTGCACTCAGATGTGATTTGCCAGTGTCGCAGGCAGCAGCTTAACCTGCTGCACCACAACGCCAGCCCCAGACTTTTATTTTCCGAGTGTAAACCTTTATGGGATATACCCTACAGATTATATAAACAAGAGAAAAACATGATTTTTAATTTATTTATGCCGGCGCCGCGGCTCACTAGGTTAATCCTCCGCCTTGCGGCGCCGGCACACCGGGTTCTAGTCCCGGTCGGGGCGCCGGATTCTGTCCCGGTTGCCCCTCTTCCAGGCCAGCTCTCTGCTATGGCCAGGGAGTGCAGTGGAGGATGGCCCAAGTGCTTGGGCCCTGCACCCACATGGGAGACCAGGAGAAGCACCTGGCTCCTGGCTTTGGATCAGTGTGGTGCACTGGCCGCGGTAGCCATTGGAGGGTGAACCAACGGCAAAGGAAGACCCTTCTCTCTCTCTCTCTCTCTCTCACTATCCACTCTGCCTGTCAAAAAATAAATAAATAAAATAAAAAAATTATAAAATGGGATTCCTATTCCCAAAATAAAAAAAAGATTTATTTATTTATTTGAAAGTCAGAGTTACACAGAGAGAGAAGGAGGGGCAGAGAGAGAAAGAGAGGGCTTCCGTCCGCTGGTTCACTCCCCATTTGGCCACAAGGGCCGGAGCTGCACCAATCAGAAGCCAGGAGCCTCTTCCAGGTCTCCGGCTTGGGTGCAAGGGCCCAAAGACTTGGGCCATCCTCTACTGCTTTCCCAGGCCATAGCAGAGAGCTGTATTGGAAGTGGAGCAGCTGGGACTCAGACTGGTGCCCATGTGGGATGCCAGCACTGCAGGTGGCAGCTTTACCTGCTACGGCAGAGCACCAGTCCCCAAAATTTTTTAAAAATAGGGGCCGGCACCATGGCTCACTTGGTTAATCCTCTGCCAGCAATGCCGGCATCCCATATGGGCGACAGGTTCTAGTCCTGGTTGCTCCTCTTCCAGTCCAGCTCTCTGCTGTGGCCCGGGAAGGCAGTGGAGGATGGCCCAAGTGCTTGGGCCCTGCACCCGCATGGGAGACCAGGAGGAAGCACCTGGCTCCTGGCTTCAGATCGGCGCAGCGCCAGCTGTAGCGGCCATTTGGGGGGTGAACCAACGGAAGGAAGCCCTTGTCTATCTGTCTCTCTCTCTCACTGTCTGTCAAATTAAAAAAAAATGTAAAAATAGGGTCTGGCACTGTGACATAGCAGGTGAGGCTGCCACCTGCAGTGCCGACATCCCATATGGGCGCTGGTTCGAGACCTGGCTGCTCTGCTTCCGAACCGGCTCTCTGCTGTGGCCTGGGTGCTTGGGCCCCTACCCCCACGTGGGAGACCTGGAGGAGGCTCCTGGCTCCTGGTTTGGGATTAGCACAGCTCCAGCTATTGTGGCCAATTGGGGAGTGGGCTGGTGGATGGAAGACCTATTTCTCTCTGCCTCTTCTCCTCTGTGTGACTCTGACTTTCAAATAAATAAATAAATCTTTAACAACAACAACAACAAAAGTAAAAATACGTTCCCCTCAGGAATGCTGCTTTCTTTCTCCTTAACAAATGGGTGTGAACGTCTAATGTCCTAGGGGGCCCAGCAGTTTAACTGGCCACTTGTGATGCACATCCCATATGGGAGTGCCAGGTTTGAGCCCTGGCTGCTCCACTTCTGATCCAGTTCCCTGCTAATGTGCCTGGGAGAGCAGCGGAGGATGACCCAAGTGCTTGGGCCCCTGCTTCCATGTGGGAGACCAGGATGGAGTTCCTGGCTCCTGGCTTCAGGGCATTGTGGCCATCTGGGGCAGTGAACCAGCAGACTGAAGAGCTCTGTCTCCCCTTCCTCCAGTCACTCTGCCTTTCAAATAAGTATTTTTAAAAAATCTCATGTTCTAGAATCTCTTGATCTGTCTCTTAAAACAAGGATGCAAGATCAGAGGGGTGAGGATAGTGGAGCCAGGGCACAAATCAGCTTAGAAGTAGGTGTCAGTATGAGTATGTGACTGTTGCTGTATATGAATACAAATTAGCAACTGCAAGAAAAAAAACAGCCAGTGTGGCTTAAACTGATCAAAACTTGGAAATTTTGTTTTAGCTAAGACTCTTAAGAACAGAACATAGTCTGAAATAAGTTCATAACAAGGTCGGACCTTCCAGAAGAGGCTGACGTCAGCAAACTGAGGAGAGAGTAATAAAACAGAAGGGGCTCTTGGCTCAACCTCTGGGGAATTTTTTGTGACACTATAGCACCATAACAGCACAACCCGTCTGGATTCATGGAATATAGAGAAATAGTTAAAGATTAAGAGCATTGCAATACAGTCCAATTGCCTGTGTTTGAATCTTGGCTGAAGCCAAGATTATTAGTTACTAGTTACATGATCTGAGTCTCTCAGCTTACGTCTATTCACCTGTAAAATTGGGGATAATCATAGAATTGGTGAGAGATAGTGAAAGAAAATAATGAAAGTTCAGTGCCTGGAAAGTAGTATATGTTAGAAATTATTAGACAAGATGTGATTGAAAAAGTTACTGAAATGAGATCTAGGTCAGTAGAGTGCCTAGCCCTGGAATAGCTGTTCTGAAGGAAGCACTTTGCCCTCAGACTTAGATAATTTGGGTTATATAATGCACAAATTAGTGTGATTGGGGCTGGCATTGTGGCATAGCGGGTAAAACCACTGCCTGTTACAGTGGCATCCCATATAGGTGCTGGTTCGAGTCCCAGCTGCTCCACTTGCAATCCAGCTCCCTGCTAGTGGCCTGGGAGAAGCAGCAGAGGATGGCTCCTGCCACCCACCTGGGAAACCTGAATGATGCTCCTGTTTCAGCCTGGCCCAGTCCTAGCTGTTGTGGCCATCTGGGGAGTGAGTCAGTGGATGAAGCGCTCTCTCTGTCTCCCTTTCTCTCTGTAACTCTTTCAAAATAAATAATTGTTTAAAGAATTAATGTGACTGATATTTATATAAGTAAATGAATGCTGTGCACCCTTTGGGTAATAGGGGAGCCATTTTCCATTGTTCTTCCCATGCAATTTATTTTTTTTTCTTTAAAGTCAGAGTTACACAGAGAGAGGAGAGACAGAAATAGAGAGAGGTCCTCTATCAGATGGCCCCAGTTGGCCGCATTGACCAGAGCTGCGCCTATCTGAAGCCAGGAGCCAGGCGCTTCCTCCGGGTTTCCCGCATGGGTGCAGGGCCCAAGGACATGGGCCATCTTCCACTGCTTTCCCAGGCCATAGCAGAGAGCCGGATGAGAAGTGGAGCAGCCACTTGGGATGCCGGAAAGCGCCCATATGGGATGCCGGCGCTTCAGGCCAGGGCATTAACCTGCTGCGCCACAGCGCCGGCCCCTCCCATGCAATTTCAAAAATAAGATATTTTATAACGCTTATCTAAGGCACGAAAAAATACTTAGAATACTGCCATTGTTATTGATATACTTAACTCATTTAATCCTCACTTTAGTCTCCATTTTTATAACAACACTTAGCACAGAGTATTTTTTTAAAGATGTATTATTTATTGGCAAGACAGAATTACAGAGAGAGGTAGAGACAGAGAGAGGGGTCTTCCATCTGCTGGTTCACTCCCCAAATAGCCGTAATGGCCGGAGCTACACTGATCTGAAGCCAGGAGCCAGGAGCTTCTTCCAGGTCTCGTACGTGAGTACAGGGGCCCAAGGACTTGGGCCATCTTCTACTGCATTCCCAGGCCACAGCAGAGAGCTGGATTTGAAGTGGAATAGCTGGGACTAGAACTGGTGCCCGTATGGGATGCCAGCACTGCAGGCAGCAGCTTTACCTGCTATGCCACAGCACCAGCCCCTACGCAGAGTATTATTTTTAATGTACATTTGTTTTCCAGTGGATATTCAGGAATTATGATATCACAGTCCAAAATTCTGCATCTTCAACACCTTACCAAGAGCTTGGCATGCTGTAGGTGTTCAACAATTGTTTGCAGAAGGAATGTAAGCGGGTCCACTTGGGATGTTCGCACTTTTTCAGCAGACTTGTTGTTACTCAAAACTTGGGTCTTGAAGATTTCTTTAGAGACTGGGCGCTTTATTTAGAATATCTTCAATAACAGATTTTTCTTGGGAAAGAGATTAAAGTCACTAGAGTTAAGTTTGGCAGGTCAGGTGACTGAGTAATGTCATTTTTGCTCAAAAAGTAATAGGATAGTTTAAGAAAGAGAATGAGTTTTATTGCATAGCTTAAAAGCCAGTTCTAAGTTATTTCCAAAAAGTTTTGAAAAATGCTCTCATAAGGAATAAGCTTTATAACCTCTCAAGATATTACACTGGGGAGTATAAATTTTTAAATGCCTATTAGGCTATGGATGTATAAAAGACCAAAAACAAGACAAAACTCTTCCAGACCAGCATAGAAGGTAGACGTATATATAATTCAGTGTTTGAAAATCCAAACATGAAATTAGAAGGTAGTTCTTCATTTATGGAATACTACAATATCCTAGGCAGTGTGCTAGGTGCTGGAAATACAAGATACAGAAATTATAGCTTCTTGTTCTCAAGGAATTGCTAGGATAGTGATAGTGACATAGTAAGTCAAGTGGGGCAAGGCCAGTCAGGAACCATTCTTAGAAAAAATCAGCTTCAGGAGGGTTTTGAAAGAAAAACGCACGAGCAGGTGGTGAACAGAGAAGTGAATACTTAAGGTTTAATCCAGTCAAAGTAATAATCCAAAGTGTGTGTGGTGAACATGGGGCAGTCAGAAACAGGTGATGTGGGGCCAGCATTGTGGCGTAGCAGGTTAAGCCATCGGCTGTGATGCCAGCATCCCATATGGGCTCCAGTTAGAGTCTCGGCTGCTCCACTGCCCATCCAGCTGTCTGCTGGAGTGCCTGGCATGCCTGCTGGAGGAGGGCCCAGAGCCTTGGGGCCTTGCATCCATGTGGGAGGCCCAGAGGGAGCCTGTTGTCATTTGGGGAGAGGGCCAGAGGATGGAAGATCTCCCTCTCTCCCTCTGTGTAACTCTGCCTTTCAAATAAATAAATAAATCTTTAAAACAAATGAACAAAAAAGAAATAGAGGACTTGAGGGTTAGTTCATAGAAGTCCTGAAGAGTGAGGCCAGATGAAACATTTCTCTCTCACATCAGAGAACAGGATTCTAGTGGCCATGTCCTCTTGAGTCACGATCATTTTCCACTGGACAGTGCCAGGAAAACATGGCCAAATTTCATTCTCTCCACTTTACTTTCATGTTTCCATGTTAACACCCTCCTGTTAGCTCAGAATAAGAGATGGAGGCAAACTAGGAAAAGGATAGCTATAATACAAGCTTGAACAGGAATCTTGCTCATCAGAAATCCCCTCATTATCCCTCATACTTTCCCTCATCCTCTTGAAGTTCTAGTACACCCGTGCTGCTGATGGTCTCGCTAGTTTCTCCAGGCTCTGTGAGGTCAGGAACGGGGCTGACTGACTTGTAATAAGGTTTTGTCATTTTCTCCAGAACTGCACCTTCCTTTATCTCCAGACTTTGGTCTTTCTCCTGAAGATGTACATTCTGTTTGGTGTCTGGGGCCGGCTGGCCTCCCTCCCTCGCCCAGGTGAGGCTATTTGGGGAGTTTCTTTAGCCAGGATGTGCCAGGATGCAGGTGGCTGGGTCACTGAGGAAGGAGCTGGGAAGTCCTGAGTGCAGTGACCCCTCAGACACCTGCTTCTTGGGTCACTAGGAGACACTTAAGTACCTCTGGCTTTATTTGGGATGTCAAATCAGTAGATCATCAGAACTCTCCTTAGGAAATGGGCCTTCTCTGCTTGGCTCCCTGCTATCCCAAGGCGATCCTTTCTTTCCCCTTTCAAGAATATTTTCACCTCTTTGTTGCCATCTTTGATGTTATGACAGACTACAATAGAATCTTTTCTTTTTTTTTTTTTTTTTTTGACAGGTAGAGTGGACAGTGAGAGAGACAAAGGTCTTCCTTTACCGTTGGTTCACCCTCCAATGCCATCGTGGCTGGCACGCTGCAGCCAGCACATTGCACTGATCCGAAGCCAGGAGCCAGGTGCTTCTCCTGGTCTCCCATGCAGGTGCAGGGCCCAAGCACTCAGGCCATCCTCCACTGCACTCCCGGGCCACAGCAGAGAGCTGGCCTGGAAGAGGGGCAACCAGGACAGAATCCGGTGCCCCGACCGGGACTAGAACCCGGTGTACTGGTGCTGCAGGCGGAGGATTAGCCTAGTGAGCCGCGGCGCCAGCTACAATAGGATCTTGACAGGACAGGGCCCATAGCTCAGTTGCAAGGAGTAAGCATTCCTGATGGCAAAAAAGGAACTGGAACCTTCGTGGGTAACATTGTTGTATGAGCTGTGATTCTCAGAGGGGACTGGTATTTGGGAGAAGCAGTGAATGGTGGACGTGGGCTAGGTACAGGGTAACTGTAGGGAGGCCATCAGGCATCTAAATTCTATCGGCCATCGCTCTCCCTGCATCTGAGATTTCCCGAGCAGACTGGACTTATAAAAACACTCAAGGGCTGGCGCCATGGCTCACTTGGTTAATCCTCCACCTGTGGTGCCAGCATCCCATATGTTCTGTCCTGGTTGCTCCTCTTCCAGTCCAGCTCTCTGCTGTGGCCTGGGAGTGCAGTGGAGGATGGCCCAAGTGCTTGGGCCCCTGCACCCGCATGGGAAACCAGGAGGAAGCACCTGGCTCCTGGCTTCATATAGCATCAGCTCTGGCAGTAGCACCCATATGCGGAGTGATTCTAAAGGAGGGAAGACCTTTCTCTCTGTCTCTCTCTCTCTCTCTCTCTCACTGTCTATAACTCTATCTGTCAAGTAAATTAAAAAAAAAAAAAGCATTCAAAGGGTCAGTGTTGTAGTGTAACAGGTTAAGTCATCACCTGCAATGCCAGCATCCCATATGGGCACTGGTTCAAATCCTGGCTGCTCCACTTCCAAACCTGCTCTCTGCTAATGGGCTAGGAAACCAGCAGAAGATGGCTCAAGTCCTTGGGCCCCTGCACCCACGTGGGAGGCCCAGAGGAAGGTCCTGGCTTCAGCCTGGCCCCGCCCTGGCCATTGCAGCCATTTGGGGAGTAAACCAGCAATTTTTCTAATAAGTAAAAAATCACTCAAAAACATCAGTTGCCCTAGCACCAAAGCAAAATGGAATGGTCTCTTCCTGGAAGAGGTGGAAAGTTCCATGGGAAATGAGTGATCTCGGGAATCACCTTTAGGCAGGTGGCTTGTTTTGTTCCCGGACATTTTCCAGCCCCCAACTTGAGAAGTTCATAATCATTCAATCTGAGATGGAGTTGGGATTTGCTGTTGTACAAGCATTACAGCTGATTCTGGTGAAGCCAGTCCTGAATTATAATTTGAGAGGAACCTTGTTTTGAGGTATAAGTAGTAAAACACTTTTTCTCAGGAGTCTACTAACCCTAAAAGGGCCCTCAGCAGCCAGTCCTGGGGAGTTTCCAAGAATTCTGGAAGTTTAGAAAGAGAACGGTTTCCTTGGCATGATTTTTAGCAATTTGTAATTTCCATAGTAACACTAATACATAAACCAAGATTCCAAGAAAGAAGATGGGTAGAAGGAGTAATGGAAAAATCAGAGCTCTTATTGGCTCATTAAAGATCTGGCTTTGGTCCAGTCCCTTGAACCTTTTTTTCTCCAGGGCAGGTTCCTTGTTCCCTAACCTATAACTAGCTTGAATAGGCTCTGCATTGAGTCTCACAGCCCTCACCAGAGTCTTAGGCACATGTGGTTTATTTCAGGGTCCTCAGAGGAGCTATTTGAGGTTTCTCTCTGGCCAAATCAGACCCTAGTGGAGTTTGGACAACCCCTAATGGTCAACTGCAGCACCACCTGTCCAGAACCAGGGCCCGGCGGAATCGAGACCTTGTTGAAGAAAACCCAGGTGGACAAAGGGCCCCAGTGGAAGGAATTTCTCCTAGAGGATGTCACAGAGAATTCTGTCCTGCAGTGCTTCTTCTCTTGTGCAGGGATCCAGAAAGACACAAGCCTTGGCATTACTGTATATAGTGAGTGGGACTGAGGGCTGGGGAGGAAGGGAGGAGTGGGGAGCCATGACTGTGTCTTGCTGAGGGAAAACTCGAGGGCCTTCTTTTAGGGGAGAGATAAGGGCCCTTAATAAAGATGCCTGTCACCCCGTAGTGACTCTAGAGCCAGTCACACTCCGAGTTTCCTCGGTGGAGCTTTCTTCTGGGTTTTGCATTAGGAGCAGACCACAGAGAGCATCCAGACATCTCCGCTTGAGATATGGTCACATACAGAAAGCAAATACTAATCATGCTAACTTCGTAATTCCCGAACCAGAATAAAATTGGTGCTAATTATTTGCTACAAGTTCTTAGAGTTAAATATGGTTGGAGAAAGGAGGATCTTCGTGAGGCAGTTAGAGAAGTCTTCATGACACATGGGGCTCTTGAGCTCTCCTGCAGAATGATTGGGATTTGAATTGAGGATGGATGAAAGGGCCTTTCAGGCATTGGAAGACATATGGCTCTAAGTATGATGTTTGTGGGGTAAAAACTTGGTTAGCTAGGGTATAGGTTTTGTGTGATGCTAAGAAGTTCTTGATAAGCTGCAAATGCCCCTGAATACAAGCTGTCTAGAATGGCAGTGACAAAGCAAGGGACACCCCCCCCCACACACACACACACACAGTCCTATTTCTGGGCTCTGGCTCTGGCTACCTGTGGTAGCAGAAGCAGCCAACAGGCTGGCTCACCCCATCTAGGGCAGGGGTGGTAGCAAGCTGCCAGTCAGCTTGTTTAGGGATAGCACCTTCTGATATGTAGCACCACAGGCTCCCTGTGCTGTGCCAGGTCTTCCTGAAGGTGGGCAGCTCTCTGTGCACAAGGCCTGTCTTTTTCTCTTAAAGAGCCACCAGAGCGGGTGATCTTGGAGCTGCAGCCTGCATGGGTGGCCGTGGATGAAGCTTTTACAGTGAAGTGCCACGTGCCCAGTGTGGCACCCCTGGAGAACCTCACCCTTACCCTTCTCCAGGGTAATCAAGAACTGCACAGAAAGAACTTTCTGAACTTGGCTCTTGCCTCCCAAAGAGCCGAAGTCACCATCAGTGTCAGAGCAAAAAGGGAGAATGACAGGTGCAACTTCTCCTGCCATGCAGAACTGGATTTGAGTTCACAAGGTGGAGGGCTTTTAAATGGCAGCTCAGCCATCAAAGTACTCCGGATCTTTGGTGAGTCAGCTCTCTCTTGTGGAAGGAATCCTGGGCTCATTTATCTCATCTTGCCATGGCCTTTGGGATTAAGTTCCTGCAGGGTTTAGGGGGAGGGTGTCAGGGTCATTGAGCTGCCCCTCTACTTGGGCTTTAAACTCACTGTGGGGAAGACAGACCTTTTAGTTCCACTCCCTTCCTGCACTGTCGGGTCCTGCACAATACGTGGTTTATAACGGCTGTTCTCCCATTTTCCTTTTCCTCATGTCTTGGCAGAATTCTCGGAGAGCCCCCAGATCTGGGGCTCTTCACTTCTGGAAGTTGGGGTGGCAGAGACTGTGAGCTGTGAGCTGGCTGGAGTGTTTCCAGCCGGAGAAGTTACGTTCCACATGTTCCTGGGTGATCAGGAACTGAACCCTTTCCTCTCCTGGGAGGGTGACACGGCGTGGGCCAATGCCACCATTAGGGCCATGGAGACTGGCGCGCTGGAGCTATCTTGCCTTGTAGCTCTGGGTCTGATGGAACAGAAAACAAGACAGCCAGTGCACGTCTACAGTAAGTGACCTGCTTCATTCGTGCCCCACGTGGGTCCTCTGCCATTGAAAACCTACCCAGTATGAGTGGGTGGTTCCAGCATTGACATCCCTGGTAACATTCGCCACGTACACCCTCAAGTGAACGTTAGACTTCATCTTTCTCGTGTGTGAAAACACTCTTCCAGCAGAGATGCAAGGCATTACCAGATGAGACTTTCAAATCTCCGAAACACCTTGTTGCACCTTCCATTGAGCTTTTACAGAGGCAGTAATGGTGCCCAAAGTCCTTCCCCTGTTGTCTGCCTATCCAAGGGTACCACCAGCATCAAGAGTACAGAAGTGTTCCCAGCTTGAGAAACGGGTTTTGTGTCTTTTTCCTTTCCCTATAGGCTTCCCTCCACCAGTCCTGGAGATAGAAGATTCATACCCACTGGCAGGGACAGATGTTAATGTCACATGCTCAGGGCATGTATTATCATCACCCAGCCCTACTATTCGACTTCAGGGGGCCACAGATCTCCCTGCCCCTGGGGATCCTGCCTGGCTTCTACTTACTGCCAGGGAAGAAGATGATGGCCGAAATTTCTCCTGTGAGGCATTTTTGGAGGTGCAAGGTCGGCAATTGATTAAAACCGCTGTGACCCAGCTGCATGTGTTCTGTGAGTAGAGGTCTGGATTATTCAGTTCCCATTTCTAGAGATCTTCTTGGTCAGTAGCTTCATTGTCAGAATTGCCACATTTTTCTCATTAAAAAAAAAATCAAAGGAGACAATAAAATGAAAGCTCTTCAAACTTTCCTTGCCCCTCCCTCCCCGGAAAGTAAATGGGGAGAAAGTTGAGGGGGAGATTGGGAGTGGGGGCGTGGTTAAAGTGGTCACGTGATATTAATTGTGGGCCAAAGACTGAAGGGAGCATAGAAAGTAATAGCTGGGGCCAGAGCCACGGCTCACTGCGGCGCCAGCACACCGGGTTCTAGTCCTGGTCCGGGCGCCGGATTCTGTCCCGGTTGCCCCTCTTCCAGGCCAGCTCTCTGCTGTGGCCAGGGAGTGCAGTGGAGGATGGCCCAGGTGCTTGGGCCCTGCACCCCATGGGAGACCAGGAGAAGCACCTGGCTCCTGGCTTCGGATCAGCCCGGTGCGCTGGCCACAGCGGCCATTGGAGGGTGAACCAACGGAAAAGGAAGACCTTTCTCTCTGTCTCTCTCTCTCACTGTCCACTCTGCCTGTCAAAAAAAAAAAAAAAATAGCTGGAAGTTTTGAAAAGTAGAAAAATCCTTCTCTTGAATTCACCCCTATCCAGCTCCTCACCTTCGGAACAGCAAAGATGGGAAGCAGGGGCCCAGGTTCACCACTGACAGCAGTGTTAGCATTTAGTCTGATCCCTAAAGATGCCCTAGGCTGTATCTCTGACTCCTTGGACACAGGGAAGAGAAGAAATAAGGGTTGGCTCGAGGCAGAGAGCTGATAGGCCTTCCTTGGGGAAAGGAGTTGTTGTGTGGGGGGAACAGCATTTGGGTTGAGGGAGGAGGTGACAAGTATGAAGGTGAGAAGGGAATATGGCACACTGAGCTTAGGTCTTTGTTGGGGGGGGGCTTTCTTTTTTGTAGATGAGCCACGGTTAGAAGAATCTAGTTGCCCTAGCAACCAGACATGGGTGGAAGGGATGGAGCAGGTGCTTGCCTGTGTTCCGAAGGGAAATCCAACCCCGGCCCTGGTGTGTACTTGGAATGGGATCATCTTCGACCCAGAAGTGCCACAGAAGGCAGCCAAGAACCACACTGGAATCTACTGCTGCACGGCCACCAACAAGCTGGGTTCTGTCAGCAAAGACATTGCTATCGTTGTTGAAGGTAATACTGCCGGGTCAAGGCTGGGTGTCTCCCGCGGTTGGGGATCCTTATCCAAGCATGGAAGGGAGAAAGGTGTTACTGGGCTGGGGAGGATGGGACTGAGAAGTGGGCTTGGTGAGTCGGGGCGGAGTCATTGTTCTCAAACCCTCGAAATTCTTTGTCGTCTGTGCTTGAACAGGACTGGAGGAAGGAATCAGCTCCAGCATCTTCCTTATCATTATTGCCGCCCTGGGAGTGGGCGTGATCACCATCGCTCTGTATCTGAACTACGGGCCCTGCAAAATAAAGAGGAGGAGACTGCGCTACAGGCCGAAAGAGGGCAAAGAGGAGGAGAGCCAGCTTGCTGCTCAGCAGGCAGAGAAGTGCAGCCCACGTAATTGTTGACTCAGAACGGCTCTTTGTGGAACAAGACGTCTACTACTGTGGTCTCCCAGCGAGGGAAGAGTGGATGGAAGAGAAAGAACCAGAATGTGAGACTACGTTACTTCGTGTTCTGCTGTCCCATGAAACAGCGTTTCAGGCCCCCACGTCCCTAGTGTCCAGTCCATAAGCCCGCTGTTCTCCTTTGAGTTCCTCTGCTCACTGGGGATCTCACTCTCAGTGTTCAACTAGTGCGGTCTCTTGCATCCTGCTGTGTGCTTAATGAGTTCACTCTAAGATTAGAAAAAAAAATCCCTCCCTTACCTCATCATTCCCACTTTCTCCCAACACCAGACTAAAGGGATCATCAGAAGTATCATGGAAGAACGACTCTTTTCTCATGGTTTCCTGGTGACTGAGAACTCATTTTCTTAGCCTGAGAACAGATCTTTGAAGGAGGCGAGTACCAAACCTAAAGGATAAGAACCAGAACTCTGGGTCCATTTCCGCCTTCTCGCCTCCCTGCCCTGTGGTTCTGGAATGCCAGCTCCAGAAGCAGAGCTGAGCTTGCGGACACCAAGTGTCTGTGGCTGCTCAGGCGTCAGCGGTGGGCCTTGGGGGGGATAAAAACCCCAAGAAACTCCACGCTGCGTCAGAGCTTAGCATTCTCTCCCCGAAATGAAAGAGGGTTCTTCCTTGAATTTGGCCTTATAGGTTAAGGGCTCCAGACTTCTCTCAATTCTTTTCCATAAACGATTACAATCATCTCCGAGTTCACTTTTGACCTTTTTTTCTTTTTACCTATATGGGTTCTTGGGTGGGAGTTCCAAACGTCTACTCACCCTTTCCATAAAGAAGCAGGTAATTTGATCAAAGACTATTTAAATGAGAGGAATCCTCTTGTGACAGTGTCCCCCGGGTGATTTTGATTCAGCTTCTTTCTCTTGTTGGAAGTTTCTTCACCCGTGGAGAAGGCATGAAGATGGATGAAATCTGTTCTTTTCTCCCAAATCAGTCATGAAATGTTCATGGGAATGTTGGCTGTGGTAAAAATAAAAACGATTACTTTTGAATCTGAATGTATTTTTCTTTTGTGTCATTGTTGAGGTATTAAAAAAATATGTTCATCTGCTTGAAGGGCAGAGCAACAGTGAGACAGACCTTCCATGCGAGTGTAGTGTGCTTCCCACCCTCCAGAACTGAGCACTGGGGGAAGGAAGGAAGCCGGCCTAAGAGAGGGGGGTGTCGAGCAGGATGAAATGTGCCAGGCCTGCATTGTTACACGTCTGCAACCCCTCCGGGGCCCAGCACCCTGACCTGAGAACAGTGGATCTGAGCTTCCTACTTCCAAGAGAGGGAGCTGGAGGCTTGGCCTGTGGTGCCTTTGTGTCACAGAGCAAACCAAGCGGTTCTGCAGGCCCAGGTCCCCAGGTCAGCGGCTGTGACTGAGAAAGGACAAGGAGCTTCCTCAGGGCTTGGTCTGGCTGCATGGGACTCCTTGTTTGGGTTTCCAGGATCATGGTGCTTAGAGCTCAGTAGTTTGAATTAACCGGTTTGCAAGGTTCTTCCTCTTGTAGATTCAGAATCTTCCATTTCCTTCCCTAGGAATCCATAAAATGGGGTCAGACAGCCCCTCCTTATCAGTTCTTTTAAAATAAATTATTTTAATTTTGTTTGAAAGGCAGAGAGAAAGCACTTCCATCGTCTGGTTCACTCCCCAAATGCCCATGACAGCCAGGTCTGAGCCAGGCTGAAGCCAAGAGACAGGAAGTCAACCTGGGTCTCTGGTACGTGTGGCAGGGACTCAAGTACTTAGAAATTTGATTAGCCGAAGTACCTCAATGAGGGAATCATACAGGGTTTGTCTTTCTGTGACTGGCTAATTAGGAAAAATATTAAATGGTCAGAATTAGAAACAGGAGTGCCACAATTGGCCAAGGCTTGCATCTCCTTTTGCCTGTAATTTTTTTTTTTTAAAAAGATTTTATTTGAGAAGTAAACTTATACAGAGAGAGGTCTTCTATCCGCTGGTTCACTCCCCAGATGGCCACAATGGCCGGAGCTGCGCCAATCCAGAGTCAGGGACTTCTTCCCACATGGGTGCAGGGACCCAAGGACTTGGGCCATCTTCTACTGCTTTCCCAGGCCATAGCAGAGAGTTGGATCAGAAGAGGAACAGCAGGGACATGAACTGGTGCCCACATGGGATGCCAGTGCCACAGGCAGAGGCTTAGCCCACTACACCATAGTGCCAGCCCTCTTTTGCCTTTTTTTTTTTTTTTTTCACCAACACAACACAAGCAGCTGTGGGGACCTGTATCTCATTTTGTGGTCCTTAACATAGTGGTTCTGGGCCGGCGCCGCGGCTCACTAGGCTAATCCTCCACCTAGCGGTGCCAGCACACGGGGTTCTAGTCCCTGTCGGGGCGCCGGATTCTGTCCCGGTTGCCCCTCTTCCAGGCCAGCTCTCTGTTGTGGCCAGGGAGTGCAGTGGAGGATGGCCCAAGTGCTTGGGCCCTGCACCCCATGGGAGAACAGGATAAGCACCTGGCTCCTGCCATCGGATCAGCACGGTGCGCCGGCCGCGGCGGCCATTGGAGGGTGAACCAAGCACAAAAAGGAAGACCTTTCTCTCACTGTCCACTCTGCCTGTAAAACACACACACACACATAGTGGTTCTGAACCTAGTTTGCAAGTTGGAAATCACCTGCACAACTTTAAATTAAACTGCTCTTGCCTGGACCCATCCCAGCAATCACAGCAGAATCTCAGGGAGTGGAGGCTAATGGGAGTTGTTTAGAAAACACTCTTGGTGTTTCTAATTTGCAGAGGAGGTTGCCATCCACACTGCCAAATTGAAGATCTGAAAGGTAGAACTGTTGGAAGACCAGTGTTTACTGAAGATTTTTTTTTTTTTTGACAGGCAGAGTGGACAGTGAGAGAGAGAGAGACAGAGAGAAAGGTCTTCCTTTGCCATTGGTTCACCCTCCAATGGCTGCCGCGGCCAGCACGATGCGACCGGCCCACCGCGCTGATCCGATGGCAGGAGCCAGGAGCCAGGTGCTTTTCCTGGTCTCCCATGGGGTGCAGGGCCCAAGCACCTGGGCCATCCTCCACTGCACTCCCGGGCCACAGCAGAGGGCTGGCCTGGAAGAGGGGCAACCGGGACAGAATCCGGTGCCCCGACCGGGACTAGAACCCGGTGTGCCGGCGCCGCTAGGCGGAGGATTAGCCTAGTGAGCCGCGGCGCCGGCCATTTTTTTAAAAGATTTATTTGAAAGAGCAACAGAAAAAGGGAGAGGGAGAGAGTGACAGAAAAATCTGCCATCTGTTGGTTCACTCCCCAAGTGGCTCCAATAGCCGGGTCTGGGCCAGGTGGAAGCCCAGAGCCAGGAACTCCATCCTGGTCCTGAGTGTGGCTCCCTCTGCTGTCCAGTGCTGTTATGACAACCCCACGGCAGAATCCCCTTGCTACCAATTGAGTTCTCAGCTTCACGACCGCGCAAAAATGGAATCCATTTCAACAGAAACCGTGCTTTGAATTTTGAATTTGGACCTTTTCCCAGGCTAGTGCTCTGAGGTCCGATCCTCTCTCACGATGCTGGGCAGCAGCAGCAGCAGCAGACGCAGCCCCCAGCCCCCCGCAGTCGCTGGGGGAAACAAGGACATTCCACAGGGCGCCGTGCGGGGAAGCCGGGGTGTCTTGAAGCTTAGGTGCATGAAACGCATTTTCAGCTGATGTCACTTCCGACTTCATGTGCTTATCGAGCATGACTCCATCGTAAGTCAAGACACACGTGTAGTTAAAACACCCCTCTGTAGGCCCTGGACGTTGTAACTCCCCGGCCACATTCACTCAACACACACTTATTTCAATGGCTTGCATTTCCTTTAAAACACTCAAGCCAAGACATAATTATATTTGTGCTCATTACACCCACTTCCAAAGGCCATGCAATTTCTAAATTATTCTAAAGCCAAAAGAGGGATGTTATAGGATACTGATTCCAATTTAATGTAAGAAATACCTTTCTGAAACTTGAGTAGTTTACAGAATGGGTGGCCTTGTGACAGAGTCCCGTGGTTCCGGAGCCACACAGATTGGAGTCAGAACTTCTCTCGTGGCTACAGCAGAGGGAGACACCTCACCTAAAAGAATCAGGTTGCCCTACAAAGCCTTCATACTCGCAAACGCCACAGCTTTCAAGCCAAACAATAAACAAATGATCTGAGCCAGAGGGAGAGTTTCTGAGCTAAGAAACCAAGCTTGGAGTTCTCATATCCTGATTTTCAACCACCCTCCAAGGACGCATGTTACGCAATGCAAAATATTCTAAAATGACAGTGGATACTGTTTGAAAGAAAATTATTACAGCCCCTAAGTCTGAGTTTTTCGAAGTTGGTGAGCTGACTGTTCGCATTGTAACAGAATTATTGACCTGCATAAAATCATATTTGGATAATAGTTGCTTTGAGCAGGTAAGTGTAGGCTCATAGGTCACTAGTCAGTTAGCCAAGGTGCTTGGGAGATTAAAAACTTAACTAGAAAGCATTAACCACCTCTGATTCAAGTTCATTTGCAAACAAGAAACAGCTGAGACACCATTAGGACAAGGCAGTGTGATTGTATGCTAAGGGTTTAGCATTGGCTTGCGTTTCCTTGAAAACATGAGCAGGTTTCTCATTAATTCACTAACAGCTGAGAGAAGCTACTTAGGAAGGAAGCAGGTTGTTTTCCACTCATTTTTGGAGGGTCGCAGTCCGAGTTCAGCAGCCCCATTGGCGTGGAGTCTGAGGAAGGCAGTAACAGCTGAACGCGTGCGGGGTGACGTCCACACGAGCCGGGAAGTGGAGAGACGCCAGGGCGGCCTCCACACGTGAGATCTACCTTCCACGAGCACGCCCCATGACCTGAAGACCTCCCACTGGGCCCCCTCCCAGACGCCATGATCAAGTCTCCCCTCTTAATCCCTCCTCCCAGAACACTAATGCATTAGCATAAGGCTTTGGGGGACCAGCCTTACAAGTACATGGGCTTTGGGGAACACCCAAGCCTACCCAAACCATCACACGCCCCAAAATTTCAGGCAAAACCAACTACAGTTTTGTGAGTGCTGCCGTAGGCCAGTCCCTTCAGGAACCCTTCCTCTCACCGAGGCCCCTAAAGCAATACCTTAGTGCCTCAGGGTGGTCAAGGCATTTGTTCATGAGCACAGATCGTGTGCCATCTGTGAGCTTTTCTGGTTCTTCCCCTCACACCTCATAACACCAACCCACTGCTCTTAGAGTAAGATTGTTCACTGACAACCCGAAGATATTTGGTTGCGTGTGGGTTGATTTTTTTTGCCCTTCAAGAGTTTTCAATATGAATTCTTGCCAGTGTTTAGAATCGGGGTTCACCTAAAGCTTGGATGTCCTGGCCGTCTTGGAGAATCAGGAGGTCGGCCCACCCCGGCTGGTGCCGCCAGCTCCGAGCTGTATCCGTGGCAAGCAGCTGGGAGCCAGCTTCAGTTCAGGCCCGCACACCGGCCCTCGTGCCGACACCTGTTGGCACGGTAGGTGCAGCCCCTCCTTTAGAATCTCTCGTCTCCCTCCCTTGCTCCAGGTCAGACCCAAACACACGGGTTCCGGGAAGCCGTCTTTGCACTGTTCTCAGTTCCCGCGAGTGGTTCGGTCCGAGGGGCTCTCATCTGAAGTGTCTGTTCGAAAGCTATAATGCTGATTTCGCACTTTGTTTTCTCAACTCACTTCTGCGCTCAATCCTGCTTTCTGGTTCTGTCTTATTCTCGCGGGCTTGATCGGGTCCACCTGGCCCTTGCCGACCTGTGACTCCCTTGCAAGGCGGGACCCCGACCTGGGGGCGTGGACTTAGTGTGTGAGACTAAGAACGACAAGCCAGTTCCCTTCTAGCCCTGGAGGAGTGGGGGAAGTTAAGTTCAGCCGCCTGGTTTCCCATAATCCCCCCAGCATCGGGCCCTTCTGCCCCATACTGCCCCCTTCCGTCCCATAGTAGAAAGACACCTAGTGAGACAACCTGATGCAACTGAATTTTATTAGGACGAGGCCAGTGGGCCCCGGGGCAGCACTTTCCAGGCTAGGGGGAGGTGCTGGCGAGGCAGGGAGGGGTGCCCCTAGAAGACGCAGCTGCTCTCCACGAAGCGGCGACACTTCATCACCCGCAGGTAGGTCTCAGCCTTGTGCAGGTCCTTCTTGAAGCAGGACAGCAGCCCGTAGTTCTTGAGCAGTGCGTCGTCGCCGCGCAGGTTTGTGTCAAACTTGTCGTAGGTTTGCTTGAGGAGCTGCCCAACCCGGGGGCTGCCGTCTTCCAGCTCCTGCAAAGCGCAGGAAGAGGAGGAGGAGGAGAGAGGCCTTGGAAGCTGTTTTCCCCTTCTGTCCGGTTTCCTCCCTCCCCCACTCCGGGGCTTAGAGACAGCCCAGGGAGGTGCAAAAGGGAAACTGAGGAAAAGGATGCGTTCTCCCCAGCCAAGGCCTGGCTGCTAGGAGACAGGACTTTATCCCCCCCACCCACGGGGGCGGGCTCCGGGCCCGGGTGGGAGTGGCCCTGCGGTGGGGCCGCCCAGCGCCAGGCTCACCCGCATCAGGGCTTGGATGCCTTCCTCCAGGTCCTTCAACTTCTCGTAGACGCGGTCCGAGGTGCCAAACACCAGGGTGTTGGTGAAGGCCCTGCTGAGGAACTGCACGGGCCCCAGCCAGGACTGGATGAGCAGCAGCGAGAAGCGGAGCAGCTCCATGTCCTGCGGGGAGGCCGGGCAGGGGGTGTGTGCAGGCACCAGCCCAGCCCACAGACCCACCACTGGGCACACGGCCTCCAGAGGGGGCCCTGCCCCTCCGCCCGCCCCGCCGCTCACCGATCTCTGCTGGGCCTCGTCTTTGCCCGTGGGGGCCGGGATGGTCTCTGAGAAGCAGAAGGCAGCCTGGGCGTTCTGGATGGAGTAGCGCTGCCCCTCCGGGATGTAGGCGCGCTCCTGCGGGAAGGGCCGTCCGTTGACGTGCAAGCCTGGGTCCGGCCCTCATGGCTGCTGATCAGAACAGTCCCTCGCCGACCCCTACCCCACCCCCAGTCTATGCTCATCCGACAGCATCTTCACAGCCCTGAGCGCCGCAGATTCCCCAGGGACTGCCCGCCGCCCAGCACCCCTTCCTGGGAACTCACAAACTCTTTGTAGGTGTCAGCAGCCAGCTGGTGCAGGTGCTGGGCGCGGAGCACGGCGTTGGCAAACAGGCTGGACAAGGGCATGGCTGGGAAGGCGCTGGCCTCCTGAGGCCAGGGCAGGCAGAGCAGGGCGAAAGCCAGGAGGCCTGCGGTCCAAGAGCCTAGAGGGAGAGAGACAGGAGGTCAGGGCAGGGCCTGGGAGCAGGCGATCAGCTCTTGCCCTGCCCCTAGGCTAGTCCCCAGTCCTCCCCTAGGCTAGTCCCTAGCCCACCCCAGCCCGCCCCTAGCCCTGTCAGGGACCGAGGACATTCTAGATGGGCTAACATTGGGCTGGGGTGGTTACGCTCCCATTCAGAAGCCCCCTCCGATCTGCAGGGCCCCCTGTCTCCTTACTATGCCCAAAGGGATTTGAGGGCACTTACCTGCAGCCATCACAGCTTGGGGAGCTGTCCACGGACCCTGCGTGCTTTGGGGAGCTGTGCCCTGGGAGCCTGGAGTTGGTCCCTCGCGGGCCCTTTTTATACCCTGGTCCCTTCCCGCCCCCCCACCCCCAACCCCATCCCACTATACATTTATGCAGGGGCCCTGACGGCCTGTACTGATGGATAATTTAGGAGCTCCTCCCACTCATCCTGTGCCTGCTCCTCGCCGGGGGCCGCGCCCCCACCCCCGTCATGTTCCCCTCGCCGCCGCCGTCACCAGTCTCGTGAGGTGGCATGCAGGGTCTCCCAGCTAAAGATCCCCCCCCGACCCCGGGCCGACCTCTCTTGGAGGAGTGGGGTAGAAGAGCACGGCCTGTGTCCAGGTGTGATCTGGGCTCTGGCAGGACGCCCTTGGGGGGTTGGCCCCTAGGGCGAGGAGGGCAATGTCAGGATGGCTGCTCCGAGAGAGCTGTGCGGCCCCTTCCCACTCTCCCTCTCCCTGTCCTCCCCACGCCCCCCAGAGAGAACCTATGTGTGGGGGAAAGGGGACCACGGAGAGCCAATAGATCCGGGGAGGGGGGAGTCCCGCCTTGCTTCCTCCACTGCGTCGAGGCAGTTGGGTGCAGTGCCTGCGATGCCCACTAGGGGACACCAGCCCCACACGTTGCCTTTCCCCTTCCCCAGTGGAGGGGCTCCCCAAGGTGTGGGGGGGCAAAGGACCTGAACCTGAGATGCTGCCCCTCTCCTTGGACTTGCCACAGAGCAGCACACCAAGAAGCAGGAACCCCAGGGACAGACACGGACCACAAGTGCTTCCTCCCTCAGCCCTGAAACCTCAGAGAATCTGAGTCGAAAGAGCCCTGGGGGTTCTTTCCGCCCCAACGTGCGGACTCAGCACAGCACCGAGAGAAGCCCCATCCGGTCACACAGCCTCCTCCTCTCCCGTCTCGTCTCCCCCTTTCCATACCTGCAAAGAGCTCATCAAGTGCAAAGAGCATGCCTCTGCCTTCTCTCACGAGACCCTCACCGTCATCTTTTGAAGGAGGTATCGTCCCATTTTGCAGAGGGGCAGACTGAGGCTCGGGGAGTCTGTCCTCAGCCTGCTCAGCCAAGGGCGCCGATCTCCACAGCCTTGCTCGCCTGCGTTCCACCAGCCCTGTGGACTCAGGGCCTTTAGCTTCTGAGTCCCCTGATGCAGAGACCCTGGCCATCATAAAAGGGCCCCTTGCTTTGCCCTCCCTGAATGGGGAAATTGTTCTCCCTCAGTTCCCAGTGGCCTGGGTGTGTGCTGGAAGCCTCAGAGCTGCGCAAGACAACACCCGAGAAGGCCAGGCCGGTGGCTTCCAGCCTCCTGGTGCCTGGCGTCAAATGCCCCCAGGGATGAGAGCAGGAGAGAACACACTTCCCCACGTTTCTCCTCCCACCCTGAGTCGAAGCACATTCAGCACTTGACCCTGTGGGAAAGACAAACAAACAAGCAAACCTTTCTAGAGGTGGCTCTCAAAGGCTGGCAGCCGACACTGCACGCTCACGCCACCGGGGTCCGGAGTGGGAGTGCTGGGGCCTCCCCGCCAGCCCTTCAGCACCCGAAGATAGAGCCCCTTTGTACCCCCGCCCCTGCCGTGGCTTGCCGGGCAGGCACGGGCACCGTGCGGGCTGTGCCCCAGGCTGGCCTGGGAGAGGCTCCCAGAGGGGTGTCCCCAGGTCCACGGACTGCGGGGAAGATGAGGACACACTCTGCTTGCCTGTGTCCAGCTCCAGCACGGAGAAAGAGCCAAGGTGGGGTGGGGGGGCTGGGCCGCGGACATGGCGCCCCCCTGACAGAGGCTCTTAGCCAGCGCTGGGTCAGCGGGAGCCCTTGTTGGGGGCCACGAGTGAGTCTCGCAAGGTGGGCACAAGGGAGGTGGCCCAGGCACCCCACCACACCAGACAGCGGACGAGTGGGAGGGAGGGTCTTCTGTCACCACCTCAGAATGGAGAAGACCCTGGGGACCCCTGGGGACACACTTGCACAGAAGGTTACCATGGCAACCGTGGGGTCCAGAGCAAGAGTTGGGGGTCCCCTTCAGCCCCTGGGCCTTTTCAGGGCCTTTGGAGGTGGAGATAGCATCTACAGCTCATCGCCCACAGAACATACGGTATGGCATTGGACTTGGGATGGCCCCGCTAGCACAGGGGTCACCCGCTCTTGGGGCAGGCCCAGACGTGGCTGGTGGGGAGATGCTGTGCTCAGCACCTCGGATGGCAGCCTCGGAAGGCTTGGGACAAATGTCCCGCCAGCTGGTGTTGGTTTTGTTCGTTTTAAGAAAACTCGGCCTCCTTAAAGTTCTCTCAGGGCGTGGGATCCCTTCATATCCCCAGCCCCGACCATCACCAGGCTTCTCTGTGCCCATTGTGCAAGGACTCAGATCAGCCCTGGATCCTAAAGTGGCCCCTTGCAGCCTTAAGAGTGCTTCTGAAGTTCAAGTCTGAGGGGCTGGGCGCTGGGGCATTTTCTGGAGCCCCAGAGACCGGGGGTAGGTGATGTCTCCACCGCTCCCCCGGTGATGTGGGGCCCACGCGTCCCTCCTCTAGCTCTGCCCTTTCTTCCTTGACGTCAGAGGCTGCCCTTGAACCCCAGATCTGCTCTGCCTGCTCCTGGCTTCCAACACTCTTCACCTGAGCCTTAGCACCAGGTCGCTCACTCAGCCCAGGGGGTCAAGGTCTTCAGACTAATATGTGGGGATTCCCGGGGGCTTTTCCATGGGAGGTGGGGGAGTTGGCCCCAGACGCTGTAGAACAACAGGGGTGCGAGTCACGGCTCGGGACACTGGAGGCTCAGAGAGATACAGCAGCTTCCACTGGTCCACAGTTGCTAAGCGACGGCTCCCCAAGGCTCCTGAACTTCCCAACACACCAAGGTCTAAGAAAGATGGTGGCACTGCCTAGCGTGGACGCAACTTTCACGGGTGCAGGGCGGGAATCTCCACGCCGCCGATGTGCAAGGGAGGTGGTTGGAGCCGGACACGAGGAACTTCAACCCCAGAGTGAGGAGTCCACAGACGCTAAGAAAAGAGGTAGAAAAAAACAACCCGATGGCCTGATCCAGCGAAGCGTGTCCCATTTGTATCGCACGTTTCAGTGTACATCGCGCTTTCACTTCCTGTATCTTGCCGGGTCCTTGACTTTGCCACATGATGCAGCCGGGGGCTTGAGCATGGAGGAGGGGCTTTGGAAGGCGGGGAAGGATGGAGGCGGGCACTCCTGTCTATCAATGGGGGGTGTTGCCTGCACAGGTTGATGGCCTCTGAACAATCTAGTAGTACATAGCAAACTATGTAACTGGGAAGGCTGAGGCATTTCCACTCCCCAGCAAGACAGTCCCATTGAAAAAAAAAAAACAAAAACCAAACACCAAGTACCAAGGTGTAGGTACTAAGGTACTCAATGCCAATGTAGGAAGTCTGGGGTGCTTTTCTGGACTTCAGCAGGCAATGACGTCATCTGCTTTTCCCTTGTCCTTTGATTATGTGTGGACATCTCATGCCTCCCACCAGACTCTGATTCCCACCTTTTGTCTTTTCATTCATTCGCTCAACCACAATTAAGGGGCTCAAGGAGAGGTCACTACAGGCGCCACACGCCAGGCAGATGGGCAGACCCAGGCGGACAAAAGGCACGGGCTTTTCTCTTCCAGAGTGCCCAGTCCACTGGCGAGAGAGAGAGAGAGAGAGAGAGAGAGAGAGAGACAGAGAGAGAGGGAGAGAGAGAGGCAGCGAGAGGCAGCAGCAAATACCTATGTAGGCAGAAATTTCCCACAGGGATCACTGCCATGAGGGATATAGCTACATAAGGAGGCAAGAAGGGAGTGGAAGGCCGGGGCAGCTGGCGCAGACCCGGGCCCAGGAATTCAGCCAGCACCTGCATGGACGGGAGGTCAACGCCGAGAAGAGAACTCAAACGCCCACCTGGCTGCGATCGGCAAGGTGGGGCTTGTGGTATCTCAACATCCGCTCACGGGGAAAGTTATTTTAAAATACCAAGGGCAGGAGCTTGAATGTCTGACAAGATGCACAGGAAGGCAGTTCAAGGAAAATGTGAACAAGGCCGTGTGCTGACTCCAGGTTCTCACGAACGCTCTAAACAGACAAACAGACGGCTAGCTCTGGGGCAGGTGTCTGCCGTACTGCCCACACTGGAGTGCCCGGGGTTCGAGTTCCGATTCTGTTTCCAGGTCTAGCTTCCTACTAATGTGCTGGCAGATGGTGGCTCAAGATCTTGGGTCCCCATCACCTACGTGAGAGACCTGGATTGAGTTCCAGGCTTCCTGGCTGATGTGGGCATCCGAAGAATAAACCAGAGAATGGAAGATCTCTCTTCCAGTCTGTCTGTCTCTGTGTTCCAAATAAATTAAAAAAAAAAATAAATGGGACATTTTTTAAGAAGAGAGAGGCCTCACCTTCCCCTCCCATTGAATTAGGAGCCGTCTAAATATACGTTAACCAAGCACACTCTGATTGAACTGGGGCTTTAACGCGCGTTCGATTTTGTTCTTTGCGGTCACCAACAAGCACGGGCTTTGGGGTTGGCGCGAGCAGCTGGGTGTCTCAAATGGGCGGCTTGTTGTGGTTTGTAACTGAGTCAACGGCAGGACCCCAGGGGGCCGTCCCAGGGGCAGCAGTGTGGATACCTGAGACACCCCCCAGGAATCTCACATATGGATTCTGACCCCGGTTCCTGAATGAACGAAAGACGGGATTCAGACTCCAGGGAGCCCAGCCCCTGCGCTCCAGGTGGGGCCTTGGAGGCCTGCCCCTGAGACCTAGGCAGGCCAGACACCTGCTAGCCGGTGACCACTGCTGCACTTGCCACCCAAACAGCAGAGGCTTCTCACCGTTTGTTTTGTTTTCTGTTACCTCTCTTTCTGCTGGAAAAACACCCAAACCCCCAGGTCCGCTCACCCCAGCCCCAGCAGCACCTGCAGGGAGAGGGCCGGAAGTCAAGCTAGAGTGGAGGAGGAACCAGCCTGTGCTTACCCCAGGGTCCCTGGGGACGTGGCTGGATTCCCCCAGTGGGCAGCGGGGCATGTGGCCACCAAGGGCCTGGGAGCTGCCTTCTGGGGGTGGGGTGCACTGGGAGGAAGGCTCCAGAACCGGCTGCTGCAGGCCGCCCCAGGGACACCTTCTCCAGGCCGCTGGGAGGCCCAGCGTGGCCCTGCTGATGAGGGCGGGGCCTTGAGAGCTTCAGACCCTGTGAACTATGGGAAGAGCAAATCTCTCCAAAACACGCGCGCTCGCAGGTGGCAGCTCCGGGCGGCCGGCCGGGCGTCCCAGGCTCAGGCCCGTCTCCCCTTCCTTTGCACTCAGGCCTCATTGCCACTAAGTCCCCCAGGGGAGCCAGCTGTGCTGCAGTGGAAAGAACACAGGGGCTGCAGTCAGCAGGGCTGTGGGTGACGCGCGGTCACTTCCGGAACTTTTTCCAGGTCCTGATTTCCCTGTTTGTAAACAGGGATAAGTCTAACTGAACAGGGAGGTGCCGGCGAAAACCTGGCCGGCACGTAGGAGGGCCAGGTGTATGTTTATTGGGCCCAGTGGAAGCATCTGGGCTGTGTTGTGGATTCTGATGGTGGCGTGTGCGTCCCCACAGGTGCTAAAATGCACTCAACTGTATAGCAGAAGAAAGCAGATTCGATTTTGTCGTCCGGTACATTTTTTTTTTTTCCAAACAGCATCTGGTTCAACTCCTTTCCCTCAGACAGGTTTCATGATTCCCATTTGACAGATATAGCAACTGAGGTCTGAGAAATTCATCTCCCTGTGCCCCCCACCCCTGCCGCCACACACACACACACACACACACACACCCTGCTATCACACCCAGCTGCCCAAGCCCGTTCTGGGGCCAAGGACCCATACACATCCCAGAGTGTAAGCTCTGAAAGTGGGACCACAGGCCAGGGAGCGCCTCTCCATCACAGTCCCTGAGGGCAAGCTCCCTTTGGGGGTGTGTGGTGGAGGGGACAGGACTGGGGGCTGGGCGCTCCAAGGCCTCTCTGTGGACTCCACGTTCAAGTCTGCAAGAAACTCAGTTCAGAGGTGTTAACTAGCCGTGCCTCCCACACCCGGGGGGCCCACGCTCGGGGAGACCCCGCTTGCAGAAGTGAAGACTCCCCACCCAGCCGGCTGCCCGGGGCCCTGGTGGAGGTTGGGAGACAGAATTAGCGCCGCTATGCAAAGCAGCAGGAAAGCCAGGGCTCCAGCTCAGTGGAGGCAGAGGCCAAAACAAGCCGGTTCCCTCTGGCAGCTCCGAGGCCAAGGAGGGAGCAAGGTCCGGCCTCCCTCTGCCCAGCAGTGGGCAGTGGAGGCCTGGAGAGACTGACCTGAAACCCCAGGCCTCACCTGCACACCCCAGCGGGAAACCAGGGTGAGCTGTGCACCCCAGTGGGCCTCTCCCCAGTGCCCAGCGCTGTCCTGGTGCCAGTTAAATGGGCAGCTGCTGGGGGGCAGGGCTTCCCTGCCTGAATCCAGAGCGTGAACGGCGGAGAGGTGGAGCAGGGCCTGGATCCCGAGGGCCCGGCCCTGCAGGCCTATTGCTCTCCACCTGAGCCACTCACGGGCACTCCTGCAGCCGCTGCGTTCCTGCGCTATTTTGCAGGGCCCTAAGGATGATTTTGTGAGCATCTTGGGGCCCTAAGGAGCCTCTGATGCCACAGTAGGGAAGTCTAAAGGGGTTACCTAGCTAAGGACCCCTGAACTTCATCACATAAAGCCCACCTTGGCAATCTCGCTTGATGGTTCTGCATCAAGCTTAGAACACACGCACACTGGCCGGCGCCGCGGCTCACTAGGCTAATCCTCTGCCTGCGCGGCCAGCACACTGGGTTCTAGTCCCGGTTGCCCCTCTTCCAGGCCAGCTCTCTGCTGTGGCCCCGGAGTGCAGTGGAGGATGGCCCAAGTGCTTGGGCCCTGCACCCAAATGGGAAACCAGGAAAAGCACCTGGCTCCTGGCTTTGGATCAGCGTGGTGCTCCGGCAGCAGCGGCCATTGGAGGGTGAACCAACGGAAAAGGAAGACCTCTCTCTGTCTCTCTCTCTCACTGTCCACTCTGCCTGTCAAAAAAAAAAAAAAAAAAAGCACACACACATGCACACATCGCGTGCCTGTGCACACACAGGTCCCAGGCCTGGACAGAGGTGTGGGATGTGATGGAGGGGTGTTGTGAGGCAGGGGACACCCTTACCCTCATGGGCGCTTCTAGTGCAACCAGAGAACCAAGGTCGGCATGAGGGCACCCATAGCAGCCGAGCCATGGCTGCACAGAATGGTCTGTGCAGGGCTTGGGCCAGGACTAGGTATTTTAGGAGGGCTTCCTGTAGGTGGAGGGTCTTGGAGGACAGTGGGATTGGGAGAGGTGGGGTAGGACAGGTTCCTCCAGGCGGAAGCTGTTGTGCTACAGCAGGTTGAGCCGCTGCCCGCAATGCTGGCATCCCATATGAGTGCCAATTCAAGTCCCAGCTGCTCCACTTACGACACAGCTCCCTGCTAATGTGCCTGGGAAAGCAGAAGAAGATGACCCAAGTCCTTGGGGCCCTGCACCACGTGGCAGACTCAGGGGGTTCCTGTTTCCTGGCTTTGACCTGGTCCAGCCTTAGTTTTTGTGGCCTTTTGGAGTGAGCCAGTGGAAGAAAGATCTCTGTCTTTGTATCTCTCTCTCTCTCTCTCTCTCTCTCTCTCTCTCTCTCGCTGTAATTGCCTTTTAAATAAAACAAATTCTTTAAAAGATTTATTTATTTATTTCAGAGGTACAGTTAGAGACAGAAGGAGGGAGAAACAGAGAGAAAGGTCTTCCATTCACTGGTTCACTCCTCAAATGGCTGCAACGGCTGGAGTTGGGCCGATCCGAAGCCAGGATCTAGGAGCCAGTGGCTTCTTTCGGGTTTTCCATGCAGGTGCAGGGACCCAAGCACTTGGGCCATCTTCTGCTGCTTTCCCAGGCCACAGCAGAGAGCTGGATCAGAAGAGGAGCAGCCAGGACTCAAACCTGCACCCATATGGGATGCCGGCACTGCAGGAGGAGGCCTGTTGCAGCACAGTACCAGCCTCCAAATAAAATGCATTAAAAAAATCTTTAAGGACCCTCCAGGCTGAGACTGGGCCCTGTGGAGCAAGACCCTCCTGCTGCCTGTTGGCTAAAGGAGCGCAGGCTGAGGACAGCCCTGCCTGGGTCCGAGCGGCCAATGCCCTTGTCTGCCATTGCCGCAGGCCCAGCCAGAGCCAGAGTAGGGAGTGCGGGATGTGCCACAGGCCCCAGCTGGGCCTTCAAGGGGAAGCGGAGGGTGAGCATGCAGTCACCTCCTCCCATCCCCGCAGGCCCATGGGTGCCACATTCAGGTGACAGACACGGCCACACAGTTCCGTCTGCCCCGCTCCCATAGACGTCACACACCTGTGTGTGGGTTCGCAAGACACATCATTTATTCCGTGCGAGACTGGGGAGGATGGGAGAGAGGAATGAGGTTCTCAGTGGCCTTTCCTGGGCTCCGCTGGAAGCTGGTCTGTTCTGAGTCCGTTTGCAAGTTCTGAGCAAGTCTCTGTCTTGCTGTCCCAACCGTGGGGACGAATTCCTGTGTGGCACTGCCCACTCCAGACCACTGCCCTGCTGTCCTACTCCAGGGGCCGGAGGGGCAGGCGGCTCTGGTAGGCCAGCTTCGGAGACTAGCGAGGGGTCCAGGGAGGAGGGGATGGGCCGTGAGCCAGGCACCTCTGCAGCAGCCAGGAAGACCCTCGTGCTGTGCCCGGGCGTGGTGGGGTGGGCAGCCCCTCACTCCTGGCCGGGGTGCTCGCCCACAGACCACTTCACCTCCCCTGTCCGCAGAGTCACTATGTCCTCGTAGGTAGCAGTCTGGTCAATGTCGAGACCCTGGAGACAGAAAATGGAGCTCAGGCCTGGGCTGGACCCTGCCCACACCCCCAGACGGTGGCCGCGGGCCCAGCTGCGCCTTACCTCATAGGTGTGATCTTCCTCCATCCCGGCCTTGCTGTCATCCTGGGGGAGGAGAGATGAGGACCAGTGTGTTAGCGCCTCCAGCCCCACCTCCTGCTGGGCCAAGCTTGGGAGGGCCCGGCCCAGGCAGAGGGTGGGAGTGAGGGGCAGCTGCAAGAATGGCTGACATTCCACAGGGCCAAGGGGAGACTGAGACCCTGCACACGTCCGGCCTGCCCTGGAGCCCCGCCCCGGCCCCCGGCCTGGCCCTGCCCACGGTCACCTTGTCCAGCAGCAGGAAGATGGGCACGATGATGAAGAGGATGATGAGCAGGGTCTGGATCATGATGATGCCGTCTTTCAGCGTGTTCCGCCGCTTCAGCTGGGCCAAGGTGCTGAGCCCTGGGGGGAGAGGGCGTGAGACTGGGCTCAGGGGTTTCGCGGGAGCCCACCCCTCGGCCACCTCCCTGGACGGCGCAGCTGGCTGCGGGCATGGCCCTCTCCTGACACACACCCATGACGCGCAGCTCCGTGCTGCAGCCCCAAATGGCATCCTTGGCGGCCCCTGAGCGTTGCTGCTGGCACATGTAGATGCCGTTGTCCTCAAACTGGATGCCCTGGATGGTGAGGGTGGCCATGGTGCCGTTCTGGGTCTGCAGGACTCGGTCGGGTTCTTTGGGTACCTCCTGCGGCTGCGCTTCCATGTTTGGTTTCCGGAACCAGCTCATGGAGTTGGTGTCGTTCGAGTAGCACCGTAACTTCACCACGGAGCCCCGTTTCCGGGCCATGAAGCGTGGGTGCTGCCAGATCCGGGAACAAGCGCTTCCTGTGGGCACCAAGGCCAGGTTCAGACTCCCGCTGGGTGTCTGCCAGCCCCGCCCTGGGGCTTCCATCCTTGGGGGGGGGGCGCTGACCCCAGTCCAGCCTGCCCCACTGTCCTTGCTTTTTGGGGTGGGGGACAGTTGGAAGGTGGGGGTGCAGGGAAATTGAACCACGTAAGAGGCCACAGGCCAAACCACGGACCCTCCCTGCCCTTCCTTTCCGCCCCTCCGCCCGCTGGAGTTTCCTTTACAAGGCCCTGGGACCTTCCTGTTCCTTGAATGCCCGTTGTAACAGCGAGCTCCAGTCCCCACCCCAGGGCCCGACCACACGGGTCAGCCTGCGACCTGGTTGGGGACTTCTGGCTCTGCTTCCCCTGGGCTGCCTGGCCTGAAATCCTCAGGGGCCCCCCCCCACTGCCCCAGGGGACAATGGCCGAATCCTTAGCCACCCACGGAGGGCCTCTTGCCCTGATCTGCCCCGCTTCCTGCTCCTTGCTCAGCTTGGGATTCCTCCCAATGCCTCCAAGCAGTCTCCGGTGGCCCCCTGAGGCCCCGAGCCCTCACTCGAAGGGCTCATTCCAAGGCTGAATCCCATTCCCCAGTTCGACTGACTGGGGCCTGAGGCATCATGGAATTCCTTGGGGTCCCCTGCTCTGAGCCCGAGTTCATCCAGCCCCTCAGAGACCATGACTGCAGCACACCTGTCTAACAAGGATGACAGCTGGCGGGGGTGGCACCTCCTGGGAGAAGAGACCCTGTGGAGGCCTGGGGATGAGAGTCCTGGGTGGGGAGACCCAGGCGGGGATGGGACAGTGGCCGGCACTGGTCACAGACACACTTGCCCCCAGAGGGCATGGGTGAGGTCACTGACCTTTGGAATTTGGGTTCGGCTCCTTTGCTTTGACTGCCACCGGCTCACCTGCTGGGTGGGAGGAAGGGGCGGGGCAAAGTCAGGCCCTTCCCCTTGCAGTGGTTGCCCCGCCCCCTGTACCCTCCTTGTTCCCAGCACCACTTCCTCCTTCCATAAGTGCAGCTTCAGGACCCCTGAGCCCTCCCTGCCCCATCCTGAGAAGAGAGGAGCCCAGTGGGGGTACCCGAAGCCCTGCCCCAGCCACCTCTCTGCCTTTGACCCTCCGGGTGGCCTTGAGCAGGCGCCAAAATGAGACAAGAAGGAAGTCACAGTTCTTTTGTCTTCCTGCCGGGGAGGGGAACATTTCTGGACTGTGCATCTCCCAGGCTCTGGCTGGAGCAGCCTCTCCCTGCCTCCTCCCACACGGTGCTCCCAGGGTCCTGGGGCCAAGCCCCACACCACCCCTTTCCTCTGTCATAGCTGCCAAGCCTGGTGTGCTCCCTAACCCCGCCGCTCGACCCAACCAACACCCTCCAGGCTGCAGACCCGGAGCCCATCACCGCGGTTGAGACCCCTGGTCCCGGGCCCCGGCAGGCAAAGAGGGAGACAGGAGGCAGAAAGTGTGATGCCCAAAAGGAGGTTGGTGAGAGCAGGAGACTGAGCGGGCACCAACAGACGGTGACACAGACTGGTGACACAGAACGCAGCCGGCCAGCAGGCCTTGTCCCGGGGGGGGGGGGGGGGGGACTCTACCTGAAAGCAGCAGCAGCAGTAGCACCAGCCAGTTTCTGGCCGTGGGAGACAGCACCAGCCAGGCCATGGTCACGGCTCTGTCCCGGACCCCAAGCCCGTGAGGCCGTCCAAGGCTCCTGGGGAGAGCGTGTAACTGCCTGAGCTACAGGCTGTCCCCTCCCCACATCTTCCTCACCAGGCCCCTTCCTGCCATGCAAATCCGGACCCAGGGGAGGCACCAGCTCTCCGGGGACCCTGGGGGAGGGCGGGCTCTTGTCAGCTGGGCCGCTAGATGCCTGAAGCTCGCCCCCGTTTGGGCGGCACAGCTGAGGTCCGTAGTGGAAGCCCCGGAGGTGGGTGGGCTTTGAGTCTTTGGAGGGGGAGGGCGCCTGCACTCGTCTCCCTGCGTCCCCATCTTGCCTGCGCTCATCCGAGGCCTGCCAGCCCCTTGAAGGCCAGGGCCCGGCTGACCAGTCTTCTAGGCACATGCAAGCCTGTGAATGGAGCTGAGCTCGGGCCCTGGTGCCCTGGCCCAGCGCTCAGCCTGCAGGGAGAGGAAGGACCGTGCAGGAGGCCAGGGAGCTGCCACATTGATAGTTGACCCTGAGGAGGAAGGCAGCCTCAGAGGTTCTTGAGCAGGCCAAGTTGGCAGCCCCCCGGGCAGAAGACCTGGCTCCTCGTGCTAGGGGAGAGTTTCCTGGGGGCTGCACGAGGAGGTGGAATTTGGTGCAGAAGGTGTAGAGAAAAGACAGCACTTAGCACACAGGCTCAGAGGGCTCTGAAGTGCTGCCCACTGCTCCAGGGGGTCTTGGACAGGGGGGCGGCTCTGAAACTCCCAGCACTCTCTCTCCCTGTCCTGCCTGTCGGCAGGGCGGAGGACACAGCCCCGGCGGTGAGGAGCTTGTCGGAGCCCCTCACCGTGCGGGGGGTGGAGGGGGGCTGCTACACAGGGCCGGCCCATGAACCTCAGCCCCGCAGCTGAGCCCACTCTGAGCTTTGTGATGGCGGCTTCTGGCCGTCTCGTCCCCTGAGCCCTGCGACAGGAAGAGGCTGAATCCTCCCCACCACCCTCCACATCTCAGCCCGTGCCTGGGCTGGGACCTCTGGGAAGCAGAGGGTCTGGGCCGTGCCCACGCCCCCAGAGCCCCCAGCCCCAGTCCTGCACCCAGGTGTGATGGAGCGAGAGCCACGTCCTAGGGGCACAGGCCAGGACCTGAGCTTTGGAAACTGGGCCCAGGGCTTGTTTTCACCCAGGCACAGCTCGTTCTGGGCAGTCCCAGCTGTTCTTGCCTTGTTTCCAGATGTTCCCATGAAAAAACATTTTTCTGACAAGGTATCAGATGTTCGGGTCACAGAACAAACAGCCCGGGAATGGGAACATCACCTGAGGTCATCTCGGGACCACAGGCCCCGGGCCTTGTGACGGTGGCTGGAGGGACAAGCCTGTGGCCTGTCCAGACTTCACCTTCCCAGGCCCCTGGTCTGAGAGAGTCCTTGGTTAGCCTGGGGGCTTGTGTCTCCCCAGCGCTGGGAGGGTGACTGGGGATGGCTTGGGCACATGTGTGGCACACGTGCACTCACACATGTGTGTTGCCTGGGTGGTGGTAGAGCCTGCTCAGGGAGCACACGTGTGGCATGTGTGTACTCACACATGTGTGTTGTGTGGGTGTGGCATGAGTATACTCACACATGTGTGTTGCCTGGGTGGTGGTGGAGGCTGCTCAGGGAGCACACGTGTGGCATGCATGTACTCACACGTGTGTGTTGCCTGGGTGGTGGTGGAGGCTGCTCAGGGAGCACACGTGTGGCATGCATGTACTCACACGTGTGTGTTGCCTGGGTGGTGGTGGAGGCTGCTCAGGGAGCAGTCCTGGGGCCCAGGTGAGGGGTGTGGAGTTGGCATCCTCCATGCGCGCGCACGCCACCGCGTCGCCAGCCGTGGGCAGGGATGCAGATGTGTCCTTTGGACTTCGTTCCCATTCATGCCGGGTGGGTGGGGATCTGCTTTCAGGAAGGGGGGGGAGTCGGGGGGTGCCGCCTGCACGGTTATTTGTCACTGCTGGGCCGTACTGTTCCCTGCCGGGTGACAGCAGCACCCAGCCCTGTCCTGGGCTCCCGATGACCTTTGCTTTTCAGAACAGAAGGACTCACAAGCCCATTCTGTCGCTGGCCCCGGCTGCCCAGGGCTGCACACCCCCCTGCCCGCCCGCCCCCACTGTTCCAGGAAGTCAGCAGCAAAACAAGAGGTGGGGGTGCGGGCCGAGGGACAAGGGGCTCAAAGGTTGGGGACACAAAGAGGGCAGGGACCCCCTGCAGCCACCCCAGGAAGCTTAGGCCTCTACCCCTCCTCCAGGCACACTGTTCTCAGGTGTGGGTTCAAATCCTGATCATGCCAAATATATACCAGGCAGAAGCTGCCCCACGTCACTGGTGGTCTCAACTTAGGGGTGCTTCTGCCCCACCCTGGGAGCATTTGGAAGAGCGCCAGACAACCGTAATGGCCACAGTGACCACTGGCCACTCCTGGTATTTGTAGACCAAGAGCACCCCAGGATGGCAATGGCCATTCCCGACCTTTGTGTAAGACAGACGGTGCCAATGACAGGACAGCCATGTGCACCGGACACAGACCTGGGCCTGACGTGTAGTGTGGAGCACAGTGCACAGTGCACCCCCAATGAGGCGGGGAGCAGCGGTGACAACTGGGGAATGGAGAAACTGGGAAATATTCACTTAAGGGTAGCTCTGCCTCTCGCCTGGGTTTTGCCTTTTTTCTTCCACCAGGAGAGGCTCGGGTCCCTCGCTCCACGGCAGGGGTCCCGAGAGCCACGTGGGGATGCCTGCCCCCCGCCCGGTGTGCAGACAACTGTGAGGTGGAAAGGAGCTGCAGGGACAGTGGAAGGACCCTGTGGTGTCACACAACCCCAGGGCCCAGGAGAGGGAGACAGAGATCCTGGAAAGGTTCCAGTGCTCACCAGCTTGGAGCACGCACAGCCCAGGGAGGCAGAACATGCAATGACAGGAAACCTCCATTCACGGGCTGGGCTGTGGGCTGAGAGTGCTCCGTGGGATACCCCGTCACACGCAGGTCCACGTCGGGGCTCTCCAGGGCCAGTCCTGAGGGGATGGCACCTCTGAGAATGGGGGGGCGCGTGTGAGCCCCACAGGTACCTTGGGGCCTCTGAGAGGCTCTGGAGGGGACAGGGATACAAGATCATCACAGGCATCGGGGTAAAGGGACATAAACACAGGGGCCCCACCTGGCCTCTTGGGCTCCAGCTAAGAGGATTTCAGAGCAGGCAGGAGGAAGCAGATTGGGCCAGAGAGTGGGGCTGGGGTCCCACTCCCCTGCCCCACCTGCCTCCACTGCCTGCTTGCCACGTTTGCCCCTTGCTACCCTCGCCCTGTCCACATCTACACACAGAGGCACACGTGTCAGAGGCACCGGGGACGGTTTATTGTAAGAACTGTACAAAGGAGCCTGTTGGCCTGCCCGGCTTGGGACCTGTTCCCACCTGGATGAGGTGGGAATGGGTGTCGGTCTGTGGGAGAGGGGCTGGGGAGAGGCTGGGCCCCCTCATCTACACGTCCTCTGCAATCTGCAAAAAGTCCATGGAGAAGGTCCTGTCCAACAGGTTTCCCAAGGCTCTGTGGGCTGGGCCAGTCCAGTGCCCAGGAGGGAAGGACAGAGGGGCAGGTGTTGGACAGCAGGAGGCATAGCCTCTCTTGGATGAATCTTCTGCAGGAAGAGGCAGAATCTCCAGGGACGAGCTAGGAGTCGAGGTGGGAGCAGGGTTGAGGCCATGGGCATGTGATGATGAAAGAGCAAGGCCAAGGGAGGAGCTCGTGGGCAGTGAGGGAGGGAGAGGCAAGCCCTGGCAGGACAGGGAGCAGGCAGAGAGCACAGCAGACAACAAGGAAAACTGGCCCACAGGTGTGTGCATGTGTGAACACACATACACATGTGTGCACACACATTCATCTTGTTTTGAAGGTTTTGCTGCTTCCTGAGTTTTAATTAAACTATTCATGAGATCCAAGAAAAAGAAGAAGCATTTAGACCAATAGGAGACTCAAAGTATAAACCTTGCCATGTGTTCACACTCATCCACACACTCTCCCACACACAGGTACATTCATGTGAACAGGCCTACATAGAACACACACACAGACCCTCAGATACTGCAGGGCACACTGACACACACAGACACAAAAATACCCAGACACACAAGCATGTTCAGGCAGTAGTACACAGCGGCTTATGCACACACACACACAGCTATCCCCACAGGCCTACAAGCAGACACAGTCACACACACAAGTGACTAACTCCAGTGACCCCTGAGCAGGTATCTCACCCTCTCCTCCAGGCCCAGCCTCTGTTCTCTGGGAACCAGCAGAGCCTGGTGCGGCCATGCCCGGACTGATGGTGCCAATGGCAGTGCCACCTGGCTTTCCAGGCAGCAGGAAGTTGGAAGGTTGAACCTGAGCCAGGTGCGCCTTCTCTGCTGTGTGCCCCAGTGTCACCAGCTAAGCGGTAACATTTTTAGGGTCAATTTGAGGAGAGGGGAAAAGGATGAGGTGGGAGGAAGACACAGACATGGGGGGGAGACCAGGCGGTGGGGATCTTGGGCTTGATGGGGCTCCAGGGAGCCCTGGTAGTGCCAATGGGGTGGGGGAGAGGAAGGGAAAGAGGAAAGAAGAGAATCTTTTCACTGACCCTACCCAGGCCTGGCTGCTCAGGCCACAAGCAGCGACACAGCTGCCAGACCCAGCCTGCATTATGCATCCATGCTCCCTAGACAAGGGTGCTCCCAGGTGGATCTTCCCTTCTGCTCTTCCCCTCGGGGCCAGCTGGGGAGCCCTCTCTGGACCTGGACACGGCCCAGGAAGAGGTTCAGGATCTCAACCCCTGCCCAACACATCAGGCCGAAGTGTGGAGCTCCTTTGGAACCGGTGCCCTTTCCCTTTCCCAGGGAATTCCTGGCCCCTGAGGCAGAGGGGAGGGCTGGCAGCAGCCTGGGCCAGGTGTCTGTGCGCCCTGTGGTGAGGAGGTCTCTGTCCATGCTGGGGCTGGGGGGCCTGAGCCACTTCCTGGGGAGAGGCCAGCAGCCCTTAAGACTGTGGGGACAGGAGGGCAGCCAACGCCCCGTGGTAGGCCGGCCCCTCCCCTGGTGAGGGGCAGGTGTCTGCCGGTCTAACCTCCTTCTGCTGGCTGGCCGGGCCCACGAGGAGGTAAGACAACTTCAAGGTGGAAATCACGGAGGCAGGGGCCTCAGGCCCAGCATGGAGCCCCTGAGCACAGTTCTCATTTCCCACGACCTGGGAAGGCAGGTGCGTGGGCCCCGGCTGTCAGCCCCAGCGCGGCCAGATCCTGTCCCCCACGAGGGAGCTAAAGCCCCGCCCCTTCGCTCAGTATGCAGGCACTTCCGGGAGCTTTGCGGGCTGTGCCAAGGCTCATCTTGGCCACCTCCACGCTGCCCACTAGACCAGAGACTCTTTGACCCCTGGGCGCACAGTCTGCCGCAGAGCAGGGGCGGCGAGGAGCTCAGTGTCTGGGGGGCTGCCGGGCTGGAGCCCCACGGCGGGGCTGGCGTCCTCGGGGGAGCCCTTCTCCCGCTCCTGGCTGTGCGCACTGCTGTCCCGGTTCTCTGGGCCGTACATCTTGCTCATGGAGTCGGCGATCAGCCCCTCCTTCTCAGGAGCCTCGTCCCCATCCCCACCACCGTTCTGGCCGTGGCGGTACATGTAGGACGCCTGCTTCACCGAGCGCTGCAGCAGGTGCCGGCGGTAGGCCCTCTGAATCTTGATGGCACACACCTCCTCGTGCTTCCGCTTGAGGGTGGTGGTGATGGGCTCGTAGGAGACCTTGGACGGGTTGGCCGCCATGAACTTCTCCTCCATGGTCTCCTTGAGGGCGTCCATCTCCCCAGAGTCACCCAGCACCTCCTTGGTCAGGGCGAAGAGGATGTCCAGGCAGTGGATCTTGTCGCCCGGCACCATGGGCAGGTCCAGCGTGATGAGCTTGATCTTGTTGGGCTTGGCGATCCGCAGCGGCTCCTGTAGCGTGTCCACGAAGTCGGAGAGGCGGCAGTAGTCGATGAACTGGGTGGCGTCGGGGTCAAACTTCTCCCACGTCTCGTAGAACATCTCGAAGTCGTCCTCGCCAAGCGGCTCGCTGCTCTCCTCGGTGGCCACGTTGAAGTTCTCCAGGATGATGGCGATGTACATGTTGACCACGATGAGGAAGGAGATAATGATGTAGCTGCAGAAGAAGCAGATGCCGATGGAGGGGTTGCCGCAGTCGCCCCTGACGCTGGTGCCCGGGTTCTCCAGGGTGGGGTCGCAGTCCGGCGGCCCGCTGTTGAGGATGGGGTTCAGCAGCCCGTCCCAGCCGGCCGACGTGGTGATCTCAAAGAGGCAGATGATGCTGTTGCCGAAGGTCTCGAAGTTGAACATGTCGTCGATGCCCGACTCCTTCTTGACGTAGGCGAAGTTGGACATGCCGAAGATGGAGTAGATGAACATGACCAGGAAGAGCAGGAGGCCGATGTTGAAGAGGGCTGGCAGCGACATCATGAGGGCGAAGAGCAGCGTCCGGATGCCCTTGGCCCCGCGGATCAGACGCAGCACGCGCCCGATGCGCGCCAGGCGGATCACGCGGAACAGGGTCGGGGACACGAAGTACTTCTGGATCAGGTCGGAGAGCGCCAGGCCTGCAGGGAGGAGCGGAGGCTGCGTCAGGGCCTGGGGTGCTCTGCCCTGCAGGGGTTCACAGATCAGGCGGCCGCTCCGGGGCCCTGGGGACAGGGGCTGCACCTGTGCTGACAGGGCTGCGGGTGGGGTAAGGTGCATTTCCACAGGCCTGCTGTTGGCAGACGCCATGATGAGGCGAGGACGGAGGGAGGCAGGGGGTGGGGGAGGGAGAGAGAGAGCGCGCGAGCAAGCAGCTGTGAGGCTCTGGGCATGTCCCTCGACTTGTCTGTGACTCAGTTTCTGCAGCTGTGAAATGGAGCGATGACAGTAGACCTGGCTCATGGCCATGTTATGAACAAAGCATGAGGTGATGTCTGTGCAGTGCAGTGCGTATAGGAGGTGCTCAACAAACAGCACGCGTGCCTATCACAGCCACACGTGCCTTCGGGAAGTTCTCCAGCACGAACACAGACTAAAACCATCGTCTTACGCCTTTCACTCAGGACACGGGCACTGAGTGTGCGTCTACTGGTCAGGCGTGTGTCCGGAAGTGCAGCCACATGTGTGCAGTGACGTGCTGCCTGTGGCCCGCTCCTGTGTGCCGCCTCTGCATCAGGAGCCAGTGAAAGGGGCCGGCGCTTGGCGCCTGGCAGGTGAGCTGTTACTTGGGATGCCCACATCCTGCATGGGAGGGCCTGGGTTTCCGTGCTGGCTCTGCGCCCGATTCCGGCTTCCTGCTAAGGCACACCCTAGGGGGTGGTAGGCGAGGGCTCAATGACTTTGAGTCCCTGCCACCCACTGTGGGAAAGCTGGGTTGAGTGCCCAGCTCCTGGCTTCAGCCCCTGTTGACCACTGTTGGCATTCGGGAAATGAACCAGCAGGAGGCAGTTGGCTGTCCTTTGTCTGTCTGTCTGTCTGTCTCCCTCTCTCAAATCAAATAAACAAGCAAATAAAAAATTTAAGAAGACTGAGTGGCAGATCCCCCCGTGTGCATGTGCGTGTGTGTGGGTGCGGGGGTGGGGGGCTGTCCTGAGTGGCCCGTCCTGCAGCCACCCTGCCAGCCTGGCCCAGGCCCGCTCACCCACGATGGACAGGATGACGACCACGAAGTCGAAGATGTTCCAGCCGACGGTGAAGTAGTACTGGCGCAGCGCGAGCATCTTGAGCACGCACTCGCCCGTGAAGATGACGATGAAGACCATGTTGATGTTGTAGAGGATGTCCACCTTGAGCTCGCTCTGGTCGTCCGTCTCCACCATCATCGTGACCATGTTGAGGCAGATGAGGATCATGATGATGATGTCGAACATCTGCTGGGTCACCAGGTCGTACACCATGCCCTGGATCTTGTTCTGCAGCGCCCAGCCCACACGCAGGCACACGGGGTGGGCGCACAACGGCGCGGCAGCATCATGGGGAGGAGGCAGACGGGGGAGGCGTCAGGGGTCGTGGTGGAGTCGGTTGGGGCGGGGCGGGGGGTGAACCACTAGCTCACTGATGGACGGCCATTCTGTGGGCTCCCGGCGTTTCCGCCCTCACTCTGGGCCCCTCCTCCCTCCAAGGTCCCCCAGTCATCCCTCAGGGTGTCTGGACATCCTCTTCCTCCCCCCTTGTAGGGGACTTGCCCCAGAGGCCACCAAGGGCTCCAGGTAAGAAGCAGGATGGACCCTGGGGGCTGGGGTGTCTGTGCAGCCGCAAAGAGGCACCCTCTCCGCAGGTGGACCCTGCTCTGCCAGGGGCACAGCCTGGCTGCCAGCTCCCTCCTGGGAGTCCCTGGCTGGGAACCAGGGAGAGGAGCCCTGATCAGCGGTACCTGGGGCCGGGGGATCGGCTTCTGAGGCTTTTTGGCCCCGAGCTTCTTCATGGCGTTGTAGTATTTCTTCTGCTCCTCCGTCATGAAGATGTCCTTCCCTCCAAAGTATAGAGGGACAGGGCTCGTGAGGTTGGGGTGGCCCCCTCTTCTTTGTCTCCAAGACCCCCTACCTCAAACACGACCCTTAAGGCAGCCCCCACCCCGGCACAAGGGCTGGGAGGCCAGGGGCAGGGGCCTGGCGGGGCCAGAGATGGCAGGATTGAGGGGGTGATGGGAAGAGGGACCAAGAGGGATTGAGGGTGCAGGGAGGGGAGCGGGGTGACGGGGGAAGGGGTTTGGCGCCGCCTTGCAGCCTGTGTGGGGCCGGTTTCCCTCCAGGTCTCGCTGAGTGCTTAGAGAAACCCCGCACGTGAGGCTGTGTTGCCCGCACTTTCTAGACAATGAAACCAGGTTCAGGGATGAGGGGCCCAGGGGTCGAAGGGGGGGGGTCCAGGGTCAGTGCCTCCGCCAGGCCGGCAGCAACAGCACAGGAGGACGTCAGGCCACGCTGGGGGCACGGGGAGGAAGCGGGGAGGCCCGGGCGGCCCGGGCTGGGCTGGTACTTATCTTTTTCTTTTGCTGGTTGAAGTTGTCAATGATGACACCGATGAAGAGGTTGAGGGTGAAGAAGGACCCGAAGATGATGAAGATGACGAAGTACAGGTACATGTAGAGGTTCACCTCGTAAGCTGGCTGCTCCTCCTTCTGCAGGGTGCAGGGCGGGGCGGGCTGGGCACGCGCTGGCTTCTCCCCCTCCCCGAGCCCTGCCACAGGACCCCTGACACCCCCACTGCTCCCACCCCCCCACCCGGAAGCAGCATAGCCAGCGGGGAGAGGGCACATGCCGCTGTCTCGCTGCGGTCTGAGTCCCCACCCTGGCTCCGTCGCTCACCTCCCGGGAGTCCACAGCTGCATACATGATGTCCATCCAACCCTTGAAGGTGGCCTGGGGGAGTGCAGTAGGGGTGAGAGGAGGGGGCTGCTCCCTGCTTCCATCCGCCATCCACTTCCCTCCCCTCCCCAGCCTATCCTCCACTGAGGCCGCCGGCCACCAGAGCCCAATGGGGCAGACATCATATAGAGACCAGCAAGGTCTCGGGTCCCGCAGCCCCGGGAGCAGGAGGAACAGCCCCTTAGCAAGGTGCAACGGCGGGCTGGGGTACAACGGGAGATGCCGGCGGTCAGCTCCGGACAGGGAGGCGGACTCACCACCTGCAGCAGGGAGAGGTAGCCCAAGCCCACGTTGTCGTAGTTGACCTTGACGTTGAGCCAGCGGACTTGGCCTGTGTGCATGAGGCTCTCACACTCGGACTTGTTGTTCACCTCGGACACGTCAAACCTCTCGGAGGTGGTGGTGTTGATGCAGTAGTAGAATTTGCCGGCGAACAGGTTCACGCCCATGATGCTGAAGATGAGCCAGAAGATGAGGCAGACGAGCAGTACGTTCATGATGGAGGGGATGGCGCCCAGGAGGGCGTTCACCACTACCTGAGGGCCGTGGACGGGGGTGGGGGGAGCGGTCAGAGCCTCTCCCCCACCTGCACACTACCCGGGGGACCAGGAGGAGCTGGGCTTGGCTATTCAGGGAGGCCTTCCTGGAGGAGGGCCCATCTGAGCCAGGCCCAGAGGGAGGCAGCCATGTGCCGGGCCGCATGAAGGTGCGTTGGGGGTAGGGTTGGGGGCTGCGGGTCTGGTGGTTGGAGAGGACGCTCTGCTTGGCTGGAGCCATCAGCCCAGGGTGGGGGCGCCAGGCTTCTCTGGAAGTGGCCTGGTCACGGGCCACCAGGCAGGAGACAAACACTCTTCCCTCGGCCCCCGTAGGAAACTCAGCCCACGTGACACAGTCCCTGCTCCGCGCTCACAGCATAAGAGGCAGGCATAGAGGAGATGCCACTGGGGGTCTTTGAAGCAGCAGGACCCCAGGACCGGAGCCCTGCCCCCCAGCCAGCCCTGGTCACACTGGCCTCCCAAAGTGTTCCAGCCTGGGCTGGGCCCTTCTCATTATGACCTCCAGACAGACAGGTGGCACAGCCTGGTGGCACCAAGCAGCCACGGGGCCATGGGCAGGTTATCTCCCTGTTCTGGTGGGTCTGAGGGCCCTCGCCTGAGCAGGAGCCCCTGGCCAGAAGTGGTGATTGGCGGGGGTTCGTCCCTGCGGGCGGCTGTCATTCCCAGTAGGCCTCCCTCTGTGCTGGGGAAGTCCCAGGTCTCTTGCTCAAGCCCCGTGTTTACCTGCCATTTCCGCTCGCAAGGGCCTGGGGGATCTTGCCCAAACTGACCCCAAACTCAAGGGCATGACCCGGAGCTGAAGGGGGGGTGGGCCCAGGGCCAGGGCGCAGGCACCTTCCTACTTGCTTTAGTTTCAGAGCCCTGGGGTGCCCAGTCTGAGGTTGGGGAGGGACACCCATAAACCCACAGGCCTGCCTGCCTCACCCATCTGCTCCTGCCTCGCTGGTCTCCTGGGAGCTGCTGCACCCTCTGCTGCCCTCTGGTGGCGGAAGAGGTAAGCTAAAGGCACGTGGGCCAGTGGCTTGAGCACCGGCAGGGGGCTGGTAGGGGACCAGCCACTGGCCTTTGGACAGGGCTGGCCGAGGTAGAAGGTGCCCGTGCACCCTGCTCTGCCATGCAGAGGCCATTCAGTACCCACCCTCATGCCCTCGAATCGGGAAAGTGCCCTCAGGGGACGCAGGGCCCGCAGCGTCCGCAGGGATTTGATGGGTCCCAGCTCCGAATAGCCTAGCCAGTTGGCCACCAGGCTGATGATGGAGACCTGCAAAGAGAAAGGCCACGTCAGTGGGTACAGGACCCTCAGCCTCCCAACAGCCCCCAGGGACAGGCCCCCCACTGGGGGAGGCGGCTCCCGGACACTCAGCTCCTGGCTGGTCCCCTCTGGTTTGTACCAGCAGTGTTGGTACCTGTCCCACCTTGGCGATGTCATCGACTAACTGGGATTGACAGGATGGGGGGGCAGTACCCATCGCCCCACGGGGCCTGTGTGCCCATCAGAGAGGATCTGAGAACCTGCCACACGCACCGGCCAGTCACCAAGTCCCCCGGGGTGTCCTTCCCATAGAACAGAAGGCTCCTCAGTCTCTTATTCCCTGTCCCCGGGCAGCTGTGTCTGAGAGGCCAGCTCTGGGGGGCCGGGCCGATCTGGGCTCTGTGTGTCCCTGCGGCCCCGGCCAGGGGCCCCGGGCTTCCCACAGCCCTCGGCTGTGACGGTGGCGGCTGGGGGACTCACGTCCACGATGAGGAAGTCCAGCCAGCACCAGGCGTTGGTGAAGTACACCTTGAAGCCGTAGGCCACCCACTTGAGCAGCATTTCCACGATGAAGATGTAGGTGAAGACCTTGTCGGCGTATTCCAGGATGGTGCGGATGACCCGCCGCTGCTCGATGTGGATGTCCTCGAAGGCCTGGGGACAGCAGCACGGCTGGCCGGAGCCTGGGAGGCTGTGGCGGCAGCCACGTCCCCACCCTGCCCGCTGCTGCCGGCCCCCGGGGCTCTGCTGTGTGGGCCAGGTGTGGATTCTCCCAGCTGCTGCCACCCACCCCCGGGAGGAGCGAGTCTCCCAAGGCGGGAGTTCCTTGGGTCCCCCTTCCCACGCCCACGGATGGCAGCTCTCAGCGATATGCTGAGGTCTTCACAGTGACCCCTACCTGAACCCAGCCCCACCTCCCCACCGTCCAGGGCAGCACACCAGGACCACCTGTCGCTTTGAGTCACAATGTTCCAGAACCCAGCCTGAAGCCCAGGTGAGTTCCTTCAGGGTTCCCTGGGTTCCAGACTGTCTGGGCTGCAGCCCTCCAGCCTGGTCCCCATCCCCGGCCTGTCCCGCCCCTGCCCTGTGGTGCCTACCAGGGCCCCACTGCTGAGCAGGATCATGAAGACAATGAAGGTCTCGAACCAATTGTGCTCGACAATCTTGAAGCAGGCCCTGCGCAGGGTCCACCACTGCTTCCCGCGGCCCTGGGAGATGTCCACGTAGAGGAAGGGACAGCGCTGCACACAGGCTGCAGGTGGGGGCAGGCGTTGGGCACGGGCCTGGGGCTGCCTGGTCGCCCGCCCCCGCCCCCACCCCTGCCCTGGGGCCAGGCCTCTCCTGCACACAGGGCTCCATCTGGTTCGCGTGGTGGGGGGGGCTCAGCTCCAGCCCCACAGCCCACTCCACCCATCCGTCAACTGCTGCTAGGGGTGGACACTCAGAGGGAGACATTTGGCAAGCAGGGGCTCAGGCCACCAGTTGTCCCCGTCCTCCCGGCACCCAGGCAGACTTTGGACAAAAATACTGCTCCCGGGGTTGTCCGGAGACGGACAGGGACAGGCCAGGCCTCTCTCTCTGACAGTGCAGGGGAGACTGGGAGCAGAAGGGAGGCGTGGGGGAGGGAGTGGAGGGAGTGGAGTGGGGAGTCTCAGGGGCAGCCACTTGCACTCCCCAGCCTACACCATCTGGGCAGTGCTGCCCTTCTCTGGTGCGCCCCCGGGGGAGGCAGGGCAGGGCCGCGGGCTCCTGGGCTGCCCCCTGCAGGCGCACAACCCCCAGGCACCCTCACCCTCGGTGAAGCACTCCTCGGGCTGCTCCCCGTCGGGGTTCTCCTCGGCCTGCTCTTCGGGGTCCTCCTCAGGGGGCTTGTAGTCAGCCGTGCTGCAGACGGAGGAGTTCCCGTCCGGGGGCTGCAGCGGCTTCTGCGGGGGCCACAGGGTCACGTGACCCCGGCGTCCCCAGAGACCTCCTCATCCTCCCACCACGAGGGAGGGCAAAGAGCTGGAGCAGACTCATCACCATTCATTCATTCACTCACTCGCTCACTCAGCCAGGGGTCACGGAGCCCATGCCGGGCCCCAGCACACTGTGGCACTCACATCTGGTGAGGGCCTCGGGTAAGGGAGGGGCTGGGCGCAGCTGGCAGGGGACTCTGGGGGGCTTAGGAGCATGAAGGGGCTGGCAGAGGAACAAGAGGCCTGAGGGTAGCTTTGAGGGGCGGGGGTACGCACAGGGGCCAAGACGGGGCTGGGCTGCCACAGCCTGCGGACAAGCGGCGGGCAGGGCCCCTTGTGCGGGCCGGAGCCTTCCCCTGCCCCAGGGTCTGCTTGGCTAAGGGATCCAGAAGCCATGGAAAATTTTCCACAGCCAAAGCCCCAGTCTGGTGCCAAGGGAACCTGATCGCAGTGGGGTGGGGGGAGGCTGAGCCAGGTCTCCCCCACCTCCTCGTGGTGTTGTCCCAGGTCACACCCCAGCCCAGCCTCCACTCCCCAAGGAGGACCCCTTCATGGCTGGGGGCAAGGCCTCTGGAGAGGAAGGGGTGCAGGGGCCACAGCTCTGTATCCAAGGCAGTGACTGGAGAACTGGGCGGGGGGCACCTTGTTCCTAGGTGACAGAAAGGGAAACTGAGGCCTACAGTGGCACATCAGCCAGAGAATCCGCTGAGCTGCTGGCTCCATCTGGACACCGTCCCTCCCGGAATCCCCCCTTTAAAGTCCCAGCCCCCTCCCCTCCCAGAGCCTGGGACCCGGGTGCTCTCCAACCCCTCCCTTCCCCGAGTTCCTCATACCGAGGTCGAGGCCGGTGCCACGTTTCCCAGGGTATTTATAGCCCACAGGCGCTCGGCCCCCTGGTAGGCGAGCATGCCACATATTTGGGGGGAACAAGGAGGCAAAGGCCTTTAGGGCAAAGTTCCTTAGGCTCCGGTGCCCGGCCAGGCCCAGGACTGATCTGGGGCAGGGGGCTCCGAGTCAGCCCCTCTGGGAGGCCCAGGCAGGGACCCAGGCTCAGCCCTAGCACCTGGCCATGACGGCTACCTGCCTTCTTCACCTGGCAAGGCTGGGGCAGGGTAGGGCAGGGCCCCCGCCCCAAGGATCCGCCAGAGCTCTCTGCTCTCTCTGTCCCCATCTCCCAGGGCCTTCCGGCTCCTCTCCTCCGAGTCTCTGACTGGCAGGTGGGGACCCCCCCCCCCCCATGATGGGCTCTAAGCAGAAACAGATGATCTTGGCAGGGACTTGGCGGGGGCTTCAGGCCCGCAGGGGGATCTCAAAGGGGCCTCTTGGGTCCAACAGTCCCAGGGCCAAGGGGGCGCAGGTTGGCGCCTCCTGCCCAAGAGCACCACCTGCTGGTGAGAGACCAGGGTGGCACTCTGGGACAGGTGTGAAGGGAAGAGATCAGAGACTCAGGCAGGGCCAGTGATGGTAACCAGCGCATATTACAGTCACGCTGATGACCCTGGCCACTCACAGAGAGCTGACTCTGCACCGTTCGAGACTCTCAGCACGCCACAGGGTGGGCACCAGCACGCCCATCTCACAGACAGAGAAAATGAGGCCGGGAGAGGATGTGGGACTTGTGGATGGAGAATTCTGAAGCCAGGGCTATCTGTCCCCTGCGCCGTCGGGGCGGGCTCACCTTGCTGTCCTCGGGCTCTGAGAAGGTGTCGGTCTCCTCCTCCGTGGGCATCTCCAAGTCGGACTCCTCGGAGGCGATGGGCACCTGTATGGTCAGGTAGGGGTTGTTGATGAAGTTGAGGTGGTCCAGCTCGATGCCCGGGGGAGGGCCGTCGGCCAGGCCCACGTGGTTCAGGAAGTGGTTGTCCTTCTTCAGGTCCTTGTCCTCCTCCTCCTCAGGGGGCGGCTCCTTCTTCTCGTCCCCGGGGGCGCTCTCCCCAGCCTCTCCAGCACCCCCAGCGCCCCCGGGCTCCCCGAGGCTGAGCATTATATCCTTGGGGCTCAAGATCTTGCCGTGCAGGAGCCCCAGGATGAAGGCCTTGGCGAAGCCGATGCCCCACTTGATGCGAGCGATGGCGATCTGCAGGTTGTTCATCTCGCCGTCCTCGTCCGAGGCAGCCAGGCTGTCGGCACTGAAGGAGCTCAGGAGCAGGGCCAGGAACAGGTTCAGGACCTGGGGAGCAGAGGGCGGGAAGCCTCAGCGCAGCCTCTGGGCCCCAGTGCACAGATCAGACCTGCCGCACAGGGGACGCTGGAAAGCAAGGGGGAGCACCGTCCTCATCAGCCCCACTCGGCAGATAAGGCAGCTGCGGCTCGGGCATATGACAGGACAGTGCTGCCCAAGGCGCACGGGGTGGCTGGGACTCCTTCTGCGCCTCTGTTGGGGGGATGCACAAGAAAGAACGGGGCTCCAGTCTCCAAGCTTCTGCGACTTAACCTCACAAACCTTTCCATCTGTTGAGTGGGACTCTCATTAGGCCCTGCGCCCCTGGGGTGCTCGGGCGCCAGCCCTCTCTGGCTCTGGAAGGCACATTCACTATGGCTATTCGCTCCCCGTCTCCCCTCGGGGTTCCCCTACCGCGCCTACTGCTGGTTCTCGAATGGACCTAAGAGGTCACTGGACTCCGCTCAGCATCTCCAAGCTTTATTTCTGGTGGACAGAACCTTAATGAGCCCCTGCCAGCAGCAGGTGGAGGCCGGCGCTTGATCAGGCTAACACAATCTTGTGGGGGCACACAGGCTTGGGCACAGTGCTGTCTGGCTCTGAACCCCCATTTGCTGGCCGTGTGTCCTGAGGCAAGCTGCTTCATCGCTGTGTGCCTCAGTTTCCTTTCTATAACACGGGGATGATTTTAGTACTCCTCGCCTTGTGGTAACAACTGGCAGACAGACAATGGAGAGCCCCTGGTAGGCACTCAGAAATGCTCGCTGCTACTACGCGTGCAGTAATACAAGACCGCGATGGCTCCCGAGGCTAGCTCAGTATTTGACACACAAAGGAACAGTCTTGCAGAGGCGGACTGGCTTGCTCAGGACTGGAACCCGGTCACTGCACACCGTGAGAAGGCACCCTTCATTATACTACAACGGGAGACATCGTGGCCCTACAGGCCACAATGCGGTGGGTGCACTTCTATGAGCCCACCCATCCTTGGGCAGCAAAGTAAGTCCTGCCAGTCACAGACATGGCCAGGCTGTCACCCCGGGAGGCCCGGGGCAGGGCTGGGTGTGTGTCGATGTGAGGGAGTGTGTGTGTGTGTGGGAGACCGTGTGTGAATCTGTCACCTTTGACCATCTTCTCCGTGAGTCTCAGTTTTTTGTTTTTTTGTTTTTGTTTTTTTTCTGACAGGCAGAGTGGACAGTGAGAGAGACAGAAAGGTCTTCCTTTGCCGTTGGTTCACCCTCCAGGCACACTGTGCTGATCTGAAGGCAGGAGCTTCTCCTGGTCTCCCATGCGGGTGCAGGGCCCAAGCACTTGGGCCATCCTCCACTGCCTTTCCAGGCAACCGGGACAGAATCCGGCGCCCCGACCGGGACTAGAACCCGGTGTGCTGGCGCCGCAGGCGGAGGATTAGCCTAGTGAGCCGTGGCGCCGGCCATTCTCCGTGAGTCTCAAGGTCTTTTTGTCATTGTCTTAACTGCCACGTTAACATAGTCTCTTTAAGGAATGTGTTGAAACCTTCTTCGGAGAGAATACGCTGGGGTGGGGTGGGGGCAGGTGCTGCCCTGTGTCCCCTAACTACGCTGTCTTTGCGCCCTGCGACCATGTACTGGTCTTTCCATTGCTTTTCCCTCTCTCGGGGTGGGGGTGGGGGGAGGCATCCAGTTGCCAGAAACACATCTGAGATGGGAATTAGCTGCTCTCTGGGTCAGCAGGGTTTGCACACGGCTCTGCTGGGACAGAAATAGCCGCCTCAGGCGAGGGGTGGGGGTGGGGAGAGTGGAAGGGGGCGGGGGTCATGTTCCTCTGGGGGCTCTGCCGGGTGGGTTACCTAGGACCGAGTCACTTCCTCCTCACGTTAGTAACCCACAGGAAGTGACCAAGCGCCATGGACTCAGGGCACGGGTCCCCACACGCTCCCTGGCAGGGTGCCCTGGTGCCCTCTGGCAACACCTGCTTCTCTGAGGCCTGGGGGTGGGGAGGGAAGGGACAGTGCCCAAGGAACTGACTGCGCCACCTCTCCGGCCACTCTACTCCCTGTGCACAGAGGGCAAGAGACACAGATCCGGGTTGGAAAATGTGGCCGCCGTGCGTGCGTGGGGGGCAGGCCGCTCATGGAGACGGGGCACACACAGGCAGAGCAGGGGGCCTGCGTGTGCGTGCGAGCGTGGAGGGAGAAGCACGCGGAGGCCGTGCTGGGGCAGGGAGAGCCGAGCCGGCTTGCTCGGGCTCCGCCCCGGCAGGCACTGCCAGTTCACCTGAGCCTTTGCTTTCTGGTCTCCAACAGCTTGGCCATCCCTCGGAGGGCGGCTGCAGGGGTTACGCGAGTGAATGTGCAATGCGCGCAGCAGCCTGGGTCGAGGCAAGACAAATGTCAGCTGTCGTCATCCTTATTGTCATTGTGACGATTACCGCTGATACGGAGGTTACGGTTACAGCAGTTAGCAGACCCACGCTCTAGGCGCGGCTCAGCTCCCGCCTGGGCAGTGCGGTTCTGGGCGGTACCTCATCCCGAGAGTGGGGATAATAAGACCTGTGTCACAGGGCTGTCGAGAGGATTAGGGCTAATGCAGTAAAGCCTTTTGCACAGGGACCGGCCTACGGCCTTTTGTAGGAGCCCAATACCTACCGGATGAGGGCTGGCACCTACCCCACCACCACCTCCCGCGGGCCGTGCGTCTCACGGGCCCAGAGCTTTGCTGAGCACTTACGCGTGCGTCATGGGATCCTCGTGGCCGCCCACCCCAGCACCCGCATTCTCCAGCTGAGCAGGCACAGCCCCTAAGAAGGTCAACAGCTTGCTCGGGGTTTCCCCAGCAGCAAGTGGGGCTGTGAGACCATCATGGGTTCCTACACACAGACAGAAGCCTCCACGGGCTCCTGCAGCCGCCCCCAGGTCTGCAAATTTGTCTGCACAAACTTCTACTCAGCTCAGTCCCTGTCCCCCCCACCTCTACTCCTGCCCCAAGGTCCGGCTGGGGCACCTTCCCCTGCTCCCCCCAACCTTGGACCCCAGCCCAGGGACTCAGCCCCGAGTCCTCCTCTCTGGTTATCCCACAGCCTCCGCCCTCCGCCCGCTGCAGCTCAGCGACATCTGAGAAGTGCTGACCCAGCAGCCCGAAGGTGCCACAGGCCCTTGAGCAGCGTAGGGCTGCGTGTGCGTCCTCCCCACCCCTGTTGCCTAGGGCAGTGCTGGCCACCGCAGGGGCATCTGGGAACAGCTCTGTAGGACCCTGACAGGAGTGACCCCACTGCTGCATCCAGAAGGGGAGGAGTCAGGCCTCCCCAGAAATGCCGCTCAGCCCCTGCCCCTCACCTCCCTGCACCTACCCCCTCACGCCAAGCCCTGAGGACAGGAAGCGGGTAGAAGAAGACCAGAAGGCCAAGGGTTCTGGTCCTGTGCCACACTGTGCCTTGTGGTCAATCTTCCCAGTGGCCCTAGGGGCTACCTAATATCTGTCTTCTGTCTCACAAAGAACCCAGCCTAACTCGAGGGCGGCCACTGGTTCAGATGTTGGCAGAGGAGCTGGGATTGGAAGGCAGGTCTGTCTGATTCACTATCCTGGCATCTTACCAAAACACCAGGGTTCCTCAGGGGCCAACGCTGTGGCACAGTGGGTTAAGCCACCATCTGCAGTGCCAGCGTTCCATATCATTGCCAGTCCGAGTCCCTGCGGCTCCACTCCCAATCCAGCTCCCTGCTAATGTGCCCCGGGAGGCAATGGATGATGGCCCAAGTACCTGGGTCCCACCTACCCACATGGGAGACCCCAGTGGAGTTCCAGGCTCCTGGCTTCGGTCTGGCCCAGCCCTTGGCTGTTGTGGCCATTTGGGGAGTGGACCAGTGGATGGAAGATCTCTCTTTTTCTCTCCCTCTCTCTCTCTGTCACTCTGCCTTTCAAATAAAGAAATACACTTCAACAAAACAGAACAAACAACCCTCACAGTGCGGTCGTGGGGGCTTGCAGAAGTACAGATGCCCAGGCCCCCGCCCGGAGCTGCTGCTCAGACTCTGGGGCGGGGGTGGGGGTGTGTGATGTAAGACATTCTCAGGTGACCCCTAAGCAGGTTACAGTCAGAATCACCGAGAGATGGAGAAGAATCAAACATCACCAGTGTCAGACAAATTCACTCTCGCAGGGAAAGGGTCCCTGGACTGCAGCCTGCGTGAGGTCCTGAGAGGAATGGGACACAGGTTAGCCCCTTCCCGGGCACGCGTGGAGCAACCACTCGGCCGGCCCGGCAGCCTCACTCACCACAAGGTTGCCGATGACCATGACCATGAGGAAGACGGTGAGGCACATGGCCTGGCCGGCCACCTCCATGCAGTCCCACATGGTCTCGATCCACTCCCCGCACAGGATGCGGAAGACGATGAGGAAGGAGTGGAAGAAGTCGTACATGTGCCAGCGGGGCAGGCTGCAGTCGGCGGCGATCTTGCACACGCACTCCTTGTAGCTCTTGCCGAACAGCTGCATGCCCACCACGGCGAAGATGAACACGATGATGGCCAGCACCAGCGTCAGGTTGCCCAGCGCCCCCACCGAGTTGCCAATGATCTTGATGAGCATGTTGAGCGTCGGCCACGACTTGGCCAGCTTGAAGACTCGCAGCTGCCAGACAAGAGGAGGGCAAGGGCGAATGAGGTCCAGGGACCACTGGCCCCGCCCGAGGGAGCCCCATCCTTAGCAGAAACTGCTGTCTTGATAGTCCAAACCCACGCCCCAAGTGATTGGAGACCTCAGTTTGCCCTTCTGCTAAACGGGAATACTCATATTCTACTACCTGATGCTCTTCACGTGCTCAAAAGAGAAAATCTGCTTATCTGTGAAAGAGGCTGAAGCATTTGGAAATTAACGTATACTGTTGGGATTTGCACTGACACGCTGCCGCCTAAGAAAAATGGCGGGGGAGGGGGTTGCAGATTAAAGAATCCTAGAAGCACTGATGGTTGTTGCGAGTGCTTGGAGGTCACTATACGTTCTCAGGACTTTTGTGCATGTGTGAAAGGCCTCAAAGTTAAACAATAAGAAACGCGCTCTTTACAGAGCAGGAGAGAGGCGCTAGCTCCAAAGCTCCAGTCTCACTCCTCAGGAGCTTCCAGGGCCTGTTCACAGGGCTCCAGGATGGGGCTGAAGTTCCTGCCCCATTGCCCCCCGGGGACACTAAGGAACCAAGCCCAGTGCCGCTCCTGGGCTGTTTGGTGGCTCCTGCCCGGTGTGGTAAGGAGAGAGGGCTCCCTTTCTCCCAGCCTGGGGCAGATGGGGCCTCATCTCCGGCTGCACGGCTGCTTGGGTTTCTCTTCCCTAACCCTTCTCAGCCCCGGGCCCCAGGGATGTCGCGCACCAGACGGAAGGAGCGGAGCACCGACAGCCCCTGCACGTTGGCCAGCCCCAGCTCCACCAGGCTGAGCGTGACGATGATGCTGTCAAAGATGTTCCAGCCCTGCTGGAAATACTCGTAGGGGTCCATGGCGATCAGCTTCAGCACCATCTCGGCTGTGAAGATGCCCGTGAAGACCTGCGGGGAGGCAGGGGTGTCCCAGTCTCAGGGCCTCGGGGAGCACTGGGGAGGCTCCTGTGGGGGCAGAGGGGAGGGGTCCGGACTCCTGAGAGGGGCGGAAAGTGGTATCCACGGGAGTATGTGACAGGTACCCACGGCCATGCCACAGGGCCGAGCTGAGGGACACGGAGGCCCGTTGCCACCTACAGCCGGCCTCGTGACTGTGGGCAAGTCCCTGAAGCTGGCTCTTGGTCGGACGACGAGATTCAGCGACCTCAGAGCACCGTGCGGCTCACGCTGTGAAGCAGGGAGGGGCTGTCACACTGGCTTCTCAGTCGCAGGCGAGTGCCTGGGGCTCAGGGAGGCGAGCGGCAGTCCCACCACCCGCTTCTCAGGGAGCTCAGCTCTGTCTCCTGCCTCTGCCGGCTCCAGCCCTGGGACCCAGCAGCCTTAGCAGACTCAAAGGGCCAGGGCAGGAACCAAGAGGCACAAAGTGAATGAGAAGGCCAGCGCTCTCCCCTCAACTCCAGACATGGGGGTCTGAGGGCTCCAAAGCCCCCAGAGGCTCTCAGGGCAGGGCACGCCCTCCTGCCAGGCATCAGCTGTTCTGGGTCTGCAGCCTGCCTGGGCACATGCTGAGCCCCTCCCAGGAGCTGTCCCTGGCCGTGGCAGGTGCCCAGACAGCAAGACAGTGTGGGCAGGGGGTGGGTGGGCTGGCGGGCGGCCCGGCCCATCACGCACACCCAGCAGCTGTGCTGCGTCCAGAGCACGTCCTTGCTTCTGCGGCCCAGCCTGGCCATGGCTGCCTTGGGCACCTCTGTGGGGCTGATGTGCCTTCCTCGAAGGCTGCGGAGCCAGGGGTCTGATTCTCGTGTCACCCACCCAGTCTTGGTTCTCCCCCTTGGCCCCAGATCTTACTCCCTGACTCTGGGGCGGGGCAGGGGGAGCATCGCGCCCATTTGCCTTCCTGGAAGAATTGCAGAGGAATGAGAAGGGTGGGGCAGGGCTGGAGGAGTTGGGGCGGCTGCTTTTCCTTTTGTCAGGCTCCACCGGGCTGGCAATGAGGTGCTAATGCTCCTAATGGGCAGAGATCAGCCCGGGGATCAGTGTGTGTCAACAATAGCAATAGTGGCACGGAGAAGGGCTGGGCAGGGGAGCCGCCAGGCCATGCCCGGAGATGGATGAGGGCTGGGGGGCTGCTCCCTGGGCCCTCCAGGGTGAGCTGGGGCCTTTTGGGCCTGGGAGCTGCACTGCCCTATCCCTTGGTCCCTCTGAAGCTCCTGACAAACTCTGCAAGTGGAGACACCTGTCACCACCCCCTCTACCATCTCCACACTCCCAAATCCACATCTCTTTCTCCAGGCCCAAAACCTCACCCAACTCCCCTTGTCTCCAAATACGCCAAAACCTAAATCTGGGATATTCCCTCGCCCAGCTCATGCTCCCTCATATACGGGCAAAATAACGCAGCTGTCCCCCATAGGCCCCCAGATAGTGCCCCATGCTTCCACACAGCCCAGGCAGCCCGCGTGACCCTGCCCCGGCCCTTCCCTACCAGGTTGCCCACAGAGAGCACGTTGTCGAAGTGCTCGGTCATGGGGTAGTGCTCCATGGCCATGAACAGGGTGTTGAGCACGATGCAGATGGTGATGCCCAGGTCCACGAAGGGGTCCATGACGATCAGGTGGACGATGTTCTTGAACTTCACCCAAGGGGTGCAGCAGTTCCATATGAGCACTTTGTGGGCGCACTTGTACCACCAAGGTGGGCACTTCTGGTGGGCCTCTTCCAGCTCTGGGGGTGGGGAGGTAACAGCTACCTGCTGAGGGTTCTCTCCTCCCCAGCGTCTTTGGTCTTCCTTCCAAATACCTCATTGCACCGTATCTCAACCACTCCTAGTGTGGCCTGCTCCAAGTCCCACCTCCTCTTGGTGCATCACCCTCCCTGGAGCTGCTGCCCCCTCCCCCCACCATGTAGCTCTAAAGCCCCCTCCTCTCTGTGCTAAATCTCAAAAGCTCACCCATGAAACCCCGCCCCTCAGGCATGTCTTTCTCAAGGCCCGCCCTCCTAAAAAATCCCTCCTTCATGGCCCCACCTGAAGTCCCACCCCCTTGAAGCCCCATCCTGAGTCCCGCCCCTTAGCATTAAGAACCTCAAAGGCCCGCCTCCAGGCTCCACTTCAAGCCCCGCCTTCTTGGAGCAGCCCTGGAGCCCCGCCCCTCAGTGAGCTTGGGCTGGGCTCCCACTCCCTGCCAGCTGCCCTGGGCAGTGATCCTGGCTGGGGAGACGCCCTGGTCTCTGGCTGGGTCCCAGAGTCCCCAGGGACAGGGCGGGAGGCCACTGCAGGGTGTTGGGCCAGGAATGCCGGCACCTCCATACTGTCCCCAGCCAGTCCCAGTGGTGGCTTATGGGTGTGTCTCGGCCTAGGCATGACGTCATAGCACCAAAAGCAGACGAGGTAAATAGCTACTGGTGCCACCACTTCACAGGTGGAAACAAGGAACCGGAGTGGGTGGCAGCCCCATGGAGACCGTTTTGCCCCAGGGGTGAGGATAGCTGACCCCCAGCCCCATCAGGAATTAGAAAACCCAGCCTCTCCTGTGGCTGGGGGCAGACTCTGGACTGAGGTGACGCCCCTCGTCCGCTACTGCACCTATCCCAGTGTCTGCCATGGAACCTTCTCACAAAGCTCTCCCTGGTGGCAGGGCTGGGCCCAGAACTCCCAGGGTGCTCTTGGGTGGGACACAGGCACCTGAGGTGGGACACAAGGCCACGTGAGATGCTTCCCTCTGGAGGTTTCAGAGTCCTGTGGGACCCCAACTCCTTCTGGGTACAAGGAGGGGGCCAATCCCTTCTCCAGGCCTGAGCTGCTTTCCCATCTGCCCTCCCTCCCTCCGTGGGTCTCTTTCTAGTTGGTCCCATGCGGTCTGTCCATCCATCCATCCGTCTGCCTACCCAGTGTCCCCTGCCTCTTCCCTTCTTACCGCATGGTTAGTCTCCTTCTGACCCTGGGGGTGGCACGGGGACGGAGGGGTTCTGTGACTCCACCTAGCACCTTTGCCTTTTGCCCAGAGAACACTTGAGGAGCCGGAGCTCCAGTTTCCGGAAGGCTGGGCCTTCCTGATTCGCATTCATTAGCCCTTGGCAGCCCCCAAGGCCCTCCCGGAAGCCCCCAGTGCCCACGGCAGCCCGGTCTCTCAGCCAGCACTGGGCCCGGTTCAGACAGGACTATATTTATCACAGCCATTTCTTCGATGATGCCAAGATTAAGTTACTGTCCTCCTGAAGCTGGGTCCAGCGCGGCCCCTCCCTGCCCCCAGGAGCCTGAGTGGCCCGCTGGGCATGTTAGGCAGAGTGTGGGGTGGGGGTCGGGCAGGGCACTCACCCTCCATAGCGTCTGAAATGGCGCTTTCTGCGCTGCAGCTCTGCCTCGGGGCTCCCTTCTCTCCTGGCGCCGTGTCCAGGCTGCCGTTGCAGTCTTTGCTGTGGGTGGGGTCCCCGGCTGCCTCCCCACCTTCCAGAGCCTGGGCGGCCTTGGCCTGTGGACCAGCAAGGGTGATGGGCATGAAGTCCGGCTCTGAGCTGGGAGCTGGACTAATTCGCTCTCAAAACTTCTTCCTGAATCTTTTATTTTTTAAAAAAAATGTTCATTAACTTGCATTTATTTGAAAGATGAAGAGAGACAGGGAGAGACATTCCATCCATTGGTTTACTCTCCAAATGCCTGCAACAGCCAGGACTGGGCCAGGCTGGAGCCAGGAGCCAGGCGCTCCATTTAAGTCTCCCATGTGGGTGGATGTCGGGACACAGCACTTGAGCCAGGTTGGAAGCAGAGCCAGGGAACCCCGGCACTCCAGTGTGGGATAGATGCCCCAAGCAGCAGCTTAACCCACTGCACCACAAAGCCTGCCCCTGAATCCTTTGGAGTGGCAGCTCCTCTTGGCCTGTACAAACCTAGAGCGGATGGAGAAGGGGCGGGCCTTGGTGGTGGGGGTGACCGGGGACCCTCAGCTGGGAAGCCCCTCACTCAGCTCTCTGCACCCTGGACCCTGCACTGAATGAGATGAGTAACTGTGCAGCCGCTGCCTGGGGTCTCAGCACCTGCCTCTCGCTCAGTGTGGAGCCGCGTGTTACCCAGAGAGAATCATGAAACAACCGGCCTTTGACTGGAAGGCTACTTCCGGCGGAACTGCTCCAGATGCCTTATAGGGACGGGAAACTGAGGCATGAGGTAGGAAAAGCCTCTTTCTATTGCCCGGACCCCACCCATTCCACCGCAGCCTCCAGCCTGGAGCCTTCTGCTCCCCCTGCCTTGCCACCCGCACCCCCCCCACCCCAGCCTGCCTGGGAGAAGCCGGTCGCTCAGCAGCCCAGGCAGAGGGCGGGGGTCTGCGGGGCCCTGGCCTCCCCACCCCGAGTCCAGACCTTTTCCTGTTCTTCCTGCTGCTTCTTGAACTTCTCCAGCATCTGCTGGAACTCCTCCTCCTTCTCCTGGTCCTCGGCCAGGGTGGCCTCATTCTGCTCTGCGTAGGCCATGGCCACCACGGCCAGGATCAGGTTGATGAGGTAGAAGGAGCCCAGGAAGATGATGACGACGAAGAAGATCATGTAGGTCTTGCCAGCTGCTCGCAGGGTCTGGGAGTGGGGGGAGAAGCAGGGGAGAGGACCTGTGGTACCCGCAGCCCCTTCTCATACCTCCAATTAGGAGGCCCCTGAGGCGGGATGTGGTCATCCTGGGCAGGCCACGCCACGTCCCAGGGAACTTAAAATACTTCTAAAAGTCCGTGGCAAACAGCATGAAAAGATAACCTGATTTTGGTGCAGAAAAACAGTTTTAAATCCATACATTTTTACAATGTGCATTTTCCATGAACTTTTTGAAGTTTGTAGTTCAAATTTTTTTGTATTTGGAAATGTCTTGAATTGTAGACTTTATGACATAAATACTATGTAAATGCTTGTCATGCTGATTGCTTAGGGACGAATGAGAAGGAAATCGGCCTGGACGTGTTTGGCACGGTACTTTTCCCCCTCCAACAGTCTGATCCACAGTGATCGGGTCAGTGCACGCGGACCCCGCACGGGCGGAGGCCGGCTGTACCTGCACGTGGGCAGGGGTGAATTTCCCAGCTGCCCTGCTGGTTTCCGTGAGGCCCAGGGTTTCCTGGACCCAAGCCTGTGCCAGGCCCAGACCTCAGCTCTTAAGGTGAGGAAGGCTGTGGCCCAGCTCTGGACAGGTGCTCAGGGTTCCCAGAAGCTGCAGGAGCACCTATGGTCCTACAGAGCAGATGGCTATGCTGGGGTCACCTGTGGCCTGCAGGGTGGAGGGGTGGGGGCAGGGGAGGCTGTACCAGCTGGAAGAGGTTCTCCCAGTAGTCCTGTGTCATGAGGCGGAAGAGCGCCAGGAAGGCCCAGCTGAAGGTGTCGTAGCTGGTGTAGCCATAGTTGGGGTTTCGCCCAGCCTTGATGCACTCGTAACCCTCGGGGCAGTGCCTGGGGACAGGATGGGGGGCAAAGAGCTGTAGCTGGGAGACATGTGTGCGACCCCAGAGGGGGGAACCCTCAGTCCCACCTATGTCCCCAGTCTGGAAAGTAGTCCTTCCACGTCCGTGGGTTTTCCCTGACTCCCGTCCAGCCCAAGTCCCAGTCCATGATCATCTCCCATCCCCCATCTTCCAAGACCTGGGACGCCCCTCTTCCCTGCTGCCTCCCCAGCATCACTCACCCCGCGTCACTGCTGTTCCCACAGAGCAGGGCGTCGTTGGCGCCCTCCAGGAAGTAGAAGTTCCCTTTGGAAGTCGAATGCCACAAAGGAGGCGTGTCACCCGCGCAGGCACACTGCGGGCACACGCACCCACTGCACACCCGTGCGCCATGTACCCCAAATGGGTGTCCTCTGGGCGCCCCTCCCCCTCCCATAATGACAGCTCCAGGTTCCAAGGTCTCCGCACAGGAGATGGGGAGGGAGCTCTGGCCCAAACAGTGGCAGCTCAGCGCGAGTGTGGGTGTCCAGTGAGGACGCACGGAGCCAGAAGGGACCCGTATGTGTCTGCCTCAGGCTACCAAGCCCTGATTTCAGTGTGAATTGGGGCTGGCTTCCAGAAGGGGCACCACTGTCCCAGCTGCACGGAGGCACTGTGGGGAGGACGCGTGGCTGTGTGGGAGTGTGTGTCTCACGTGTGCGCCTGTGCAGGCTGCATGTGCCAATAGGGCATCTCCAGGTGGTGCCTGCCGGGGGTCTGCCAGGGTGTGAGCACATCGTGTGATGCAGACAAGGGGAGACCGAGTGACTTGTCAGAGGTGACACAAGCTGACAAGGGACAGATCTCAGCTCAGGTCCTCACCAGGCTATGTGCGTCACGAGAAGCTGTGGCAGGGGCTGGGACAGGCCCCCCGCCTCGCCTGCCCACCTGTCCACTCTTACCTTCGTCGTTGATGTAGGCGTCCCAGTCAAAGGTGTAGTTGCTGGCCCAGCTCTCGCGGCCGTCGTCCCACGTGTCGTTGCCGTACCACGTGTCGTTGCCATACCACGTGGTGTTGGTGTCGTTGAAGGGCGGGGGCCAGCGTACACACTTCTGCCGCAGGTTCCCCATGAAGAGCTGCAGCCCCACCAGGGCGAAGACGCTCAGGCAGAACACGGTAAGGATCATTACATCTGACAGCTTCTTCACGGACTGGATCAGGGCGCCCACGATCGTCTTCAGCCCTGGGGAGGGCACCAGTGTGGGCAGCGGGTGGGGCAGGGTGGCCATCCCCCCGAGCCCGTGCCTGCTCTTATGGCTCAGCGGGCTGCGCTGTGTGCTCAGTTCAGCCCCCACAGAGCGGTTTCTGCTCAGTCTGCATTTTTATTTGTTTTAAAAATTCATTTATTTGAGGGAGCCAGCGTTGTGGCATAGTAGATTAAGCTTCTAGGGGCTGGCGCTGTGGTGCAGTGGGTTAATGCCCTGGCCTGAAGCACCGGCATCCCATATGAGTGCTGGTTCAAGACCCGGCTGCTCCACTGCCCATCCAGCTCTCTGCTATGGCCTGGGAAAGCAGTAGAAGATGGCCCAGGTCCTTGGGCCCCTGCACCTGCGTGGGAGACCCGGAAGAAGCTCCTGGCTCCTGGCTTCGGATTGGCACAGCTTCGGCCGATGTGGCCAACTGGGGAGTGAACCATTGGATGGAAGACCTCTCTCTCTCTCTCCCTCTCCTTTTCTCTCTGTGTAACTCTGACTTTCAAATAAATAAATCTTAAAAAAAAAATGCCTTTGCCTGTGATGCCAACATCCCATATAAGCATCGGTTCAAGACCCGGCTGCTCTACTTCTGATCCAGCTCCCTGCTGGTGCACCTGGCAAAGCAGTGGAAGATGGCCCACGTGCCTGGGCCCCTGCACCCGTGTGGGAGACCCAGAGGAAGCTCCAGGCTCCTGGCTTCAGCTTGGCTGTTGCAGCCATTTGGGCAGTGAACCAGATGAAAGATCGCGCGCTCTCTCTCTCTCTCTCTCCCCTCCCCTCTCTGTAACTACCTTTCAAACAAATTAAAAAAAAATCATTTATTTGAGAGGCAGAGAGCGAGGAGGGACAGAGCAGGCGCTTCCATCTGCTTGTTCATTCCCTAAATGCCTGAAACGGCTGGGAATGGGCCAGGCTGAAACTGGAAGCCGGAAGCTCCCCCCAGCTCTCTCACACGGGTGGCAGGAACCCAGTTTCCTGAGCCATCACGGCTGCCTCCCAGGTCTGTATTAGCAGGAAGGTGGAGTCAGGAGCCAGAACCAGGTGTGGAACCCAGGACTCCAGCGTGGCACACGGGCGTTGACTGTGAGGCTAACTCTGTTATGTGTCACATCCCTTGTGCCGGGCCCTCCTTCAAAGTCCCTAACCTCAAAGTAACCCACTGGGTGGTACTACTACCATCCACGTTTCACAGATGGGGCAACTGAGGCACAGCAAGTCAAACACTTGCCCAAGGTCACAGACGGGTGCAAGGGAGAGTTGAACCCAAGCAGTCTGGCTCCACCACCTTGCTAAGCTGCGGGGAAACACCCAGCTCCCACCGAGGGCCCTTCCTGCTCTCCGGCTGTGCCAGCCCCCTGTGGTCCAGGCCGTGGGGAGAGCCTTACACACAGCCCAGCAGAGTCATAACCCTGGCGCAGGCTCCTGGAACTCGAGTGCTAGGTTCCAGGTGTGAGCAAGGGGCAGGTCTGTTGGTCCAGGCAGAGGGTCCCTGTGTCACCCCAGTACCTGGGATGACCGTGATGGTTTTCAGGGCCCGCAGCACCCGGAAAGTCCTCAGGGCTGAGATGTTGCCCAAGTCCACGAACTCCGTCAGGTACCTGGGGCGGGGTTGGGGGGAGGGCTGTGTCAGAGCCAGGGGAGGTGGGAGGGCTGAAATTGGGGCTCCCCCAGGCCCACAGTGAGGATTCTCAAGGAGTCCTTGCAGTTGGGGTCACCATGGGGGACTGGGGCAGGTCTTACACCCCTACAGTTCCTAGGGGAGCCCCAGAGTTGGGAAGTAGAGTGACAGAGCTTTGCTGCTGGGGAGTGGGGGTGGCCAGGATGGCGCCGCCCAGATAGGTGAGGGCCTACAGGACATGGCTCAGGCTGCCCGCTGTGGTTCTCCATGCAACACAGAGAGGCTCCGAGCCGGGCCCTGGGAACAGCAGCTCCTACAGTTGCACAGTTCACTATCTGCACAACTGACCTGGGCGCCCCTCCCGCCTCATCTACCCTCCACATCTCGAAGGCCCCTCTGAGAGGGTCAGCCCAGTTGGCCAGCCCCTCCTCTCCCCTCCCCTCCCCGACCCCAGCCTCAGGCCCCTGCTTACGCCATCGTGATGACGCTGAAGTCCAGCCAGTTCCAGGGGTCCCGGAGGAATGTGAAGTCATCGATGCAGAAGCCTCGGGCCAGCATCTTGATGAGGGACTCGAAGGTGTAGATCCCGGTGAAGGTGTACCTGGCAGGGGGAGAGCCAGCCAGGGCCAGGGCTGTGTGCGTGTGTGACAATGGCAGACCTCAGAGGAGTGAGGGGCTGTGAGAGTGAACCAGCCACCAGAGGGCTGAGATATTGGCAAGGCTGTTAGTGAGGTCCACCTCCCACAGGGGGGGCAGGGGTCTTAAGGTGTTGGTGAGGGTCCCTGCGACGGTGTATGTCCCGCCGGAAGACAGAGCATTCATTGCGAGCATCTCAGAGGCACCCCCACCCCGGGCTGGGGGCCTGGGGAGGGGGAGACTCACTCCACGTTCTTGGACCAGGCGGGCGGGTTACTCATGGTCATGAACACGCAGTTGGTCAGAATGGTGATCATGATGAACATGCTGAACAGCGTGGGAGGGTCAAGGAAAGTGAGGGAGCAGGTGGGAAGGGGGGGAGGGCAGAGGGTCCCCGGGCCCAGAGCACCCCATCCCCCCCCTTCCCTGCCTCTCCCACGAGGGTAGGATATGAGTGAATGAGCACCTTGATGGCGCAGCGCCGGACGATGTTGAAGGGGCTCAGCATGTAGAGGGCGGGCGTGGCCGAGAAGCGGAAGATGGCCTTGCCCTTGTTGAGGACGATGAAGGTCTGAGGCGGGGAGAGAGGCTGTGAGGCCGGGGGACAGACGGACAGTGGGTGAGAGACAGGCGGACGGAGCCCTCCCGGGCCTGACCTTCTTGTCACTGTAGTAGGGGTCCAGGTCTTCCAGGGGGATGCCGATGACCGTGGGCGGGGGGTCCCCGTAGATGAGGGGCAGGTTCTTGCCGGCCTCCAGGTCGCTGCGTGGCTTCCGCTCTGGCTCCTCCACCTCCATCTGTTTGTTCCGCTGCTGCCGGGCCTCCTCCTCCACCGCCCGCCGCTCTATGGCCGCCAGGGACTCCCGGGTGAAGGGCCGCAGGCACTCGGGGCCCAGAGGCACCACGGTGGGCAGAGATGAACTGGCCATCCTCGCATCCTGGGCTCAGGGGCCTGGAGGGTGGCAGGTGGCCGGGGCCCTGGGGTGCAGGGCAGCCACCCAGCGCTGGGCCTGCTGTCCACTCCTTACCTCCTGCCTGGCCAGGGGCTGGGCCGCGGAGGGGGGTGTGCAGGCCCTGTGAGAACTGGGAGCGGTGCCTGTGAGGTTCGGCTGCTGCTGCTGCTGCGGCACAGGTGTCGGGCACAGACCATCACCCCCGAGCCCCGGGCGCCACCCCACACTCTGCCTGGCAGTGGGGTGTGCCTCCCTCAGGATCAAAAGCAAACCGAGCAGATCCTCCTGGCCTCAGGGACTTGGGGCCTTCAAATACCTCCTGGCCCAGGGTTCCGGGAACAGTGTGGCTTCAACCTACAGGGACACAGAACATCACAGCTACCTGTACCCGTGAGCCTTCAAGACGGGCTGAGGTGAGGGGCCTGTTGAGACCGGCTTAAAGCACAACTAGAAGATGGATTTTATCTTGACGGCCATGTGGATCAGCTGACATCGGCTACCTGTGCTGCTGCAGCCTGACTCAGGGCAAAGAGACTGCTGTGATTGATTAGTGATGTCTGCCAGGGCAGCAGAAGGAAGAATGTGGTTTCTCTGCATCCCTGGCCTGGAGGGAAGGGAAAAGGAAGATGTGGGGGTGTGCTGTTTCTTTTCCTGGTCTTTTGGGTGCCTGGTTGTGCTGGGAGAAGGAAGAAGGAAGGGCTCTGGGTCCTAAGAGGTCCTAACAGCTCCCTCCCATGGCCTCATGGGATCTCACCCTCTGGGCAGGCAGGGGGGCTGGGATCAGGAGGGTGATGGATGGGGAAAGGAGAGGAGAGTTACAGATGTCAATGCGGAAGGAGAGGAGGCACAGGGAAGGTCCCGGGGACAAGATGGCCCATTCCAGCATCTGAGGCAGGGCCAGCTCTCCATTGTCTCTCTGTCCGTGACTGTGGTCCATGCAGGGACCTGATGGGGGACAGAGGCACTTCCGGGAGGCTTTGAGGCTGTGAGCACCATGTAGGTGTCTCCAAGCCCCTCTCTCCTTCTGCCCAGCCCTCCTGAACCTGTTTTCAGGGAAGATCACAGCCCAGGCAGGCACGGGGAGACCACCGCAGCCCAGGCAGGCACAGCCATTGCAGGGCCCATAGGGGCAGACCCCAGAGACACCCAGGTCGACCCCAGGGGCAGCTCTCTCAGAGCAGGCCCAGACGCCACGGCGGTGCCCTGCCCTGGCCAGCACGGACACTTCTCAGCCTTGGTCAACAGACAGAGGCCGAAGCCATTGGGCAGAGCTGGCCACGCCCCTGCTGCCAGCTCCCCAGCTGCTCCTGCCAGGCCCCGGGGAATCGTGTTTCCAGGCAGTGACTCTGCTCATTCCTGCCCACCCTGTCCCTCAGCTGCTCAGTGGCCCCACTGTGCACACACACACACATGCACACACGTGAGTGCACACACACACACACGAGTGCACCACACCCGCATGCCTAGCCTGAAGCCGCCTCACACAGCCCCTCACAGTTGCACCGTCACTACCCCTCCCACATGCCCACATCCGCTTGTCGCCACACCCAGGAGTGGCCATGTGCTTGCCAGCACCCCCCTCCTCCATTCAAACAGCCACAACCTAGGGTTCTCAAGCCACAACACTGACGCAACCACACTCCCCTTAAATCTTTCAACGGCTTCCAAGTCAGTGCAAGCTCCTCCCTCCGGCTCCTTGCAGATATCGCCCCTACCTGGCCACCTACCCCTTCTCCACACGCGCACACCCTCTGGCCACACCAGCTCCATGTTCACAAGTGGGCCGAGTTGTTTCTCATCCCCTCCCCACGCCTGGAGCACTGGTCCTGTCTGTCTTCCTGGAGAGCTCCAGTCCATTCCTCCAGAATCAGCCTACAGGAGAACCACTCCCTCCAGGAAGCCCTCCTTGGTATTCTCCTCATCTGTGCCACCAGCATGCCCACTGCTTAATACAAGTTTATCGCCTGCCTAGATGGCTGAGTGAACGGGAGGGACACGCCACTCAGCCCTTTCTCCTTTCAGCACGTCCTCATCCTGAATCACAGCCAGAAGTCCCGTCTCCTCCAATGTCACCGCTTCAAGCTCTCCCTGCTCCCCGACCTCCTTCTTAGCTCACGGCTCAAGTGCACGGTGCTGTGACCCCTGGGCTCCGTCTCTGACCCTGTACTTTCTCCCTTTCTACCAGCGCACGTCCAGTGTCACTTGCTGACTCTTCCAGCCTCAGTGACAAGGTCCACCATTGCAATCCCTCCCTCACTAGCACCCTCCATTACAGGCGCATGCTCGCTCGCTCGCTCTCTCCCTCCCTCTCTCTCTCTCTCTCTCTCTCCCTCCCCTTCCTTCCTTCCCTATACTCATCCAGGGCAACCCTAACCTGCACGTGCCCGGCTGTTTTCTCTGAGTCATCCCTGAGCTACTGGACAAAAAGACACACCAGGCTGTAATCAGGTTGGACTCCTGGCTGCAGTCTGTGGGTTTGCTGTCAATCCTTCTTAGTCCTACAAGTCTACAAGCACAGATCTTTCTGACAGGCTCACGTTTGAGAGCCACCGCTCCGTGCTCCTCGTCTTTCCTCAAACCTTGGTGCTCTCTGCGTGCTACTCCCAGGAGATGCCCCTGCCACGTCCTCACTGAGAGAGCAGGCTGTGTCTACACGGTCAGATCCCTGAGAGCAGGCTGTGTCTACACGGTCAGATCCCTGAGAGCAGGCTGTGTCTACACGGTCAGATCCCTGAGAGCAGGCTGTGTCTACACGGTCAGATCCCTGAGAGTAAGCTATGTCTACACTATCAGATCCCTGAGAGTAGGCTGTGTCTACACGGTCAGATCCCTGAGAAAGTAGGCTGTGTCTATGCTGTCAAATCCACAGAACCATCTCCACCGTCCTCCCCGTCCCCCGCTTCCTCCATCTTTTTTTTTTTTTTTTAAAGATTTACATGTTTATTTGAAAGGCACAATTTCAGAGCGAGAGGGAAAGAGTGACCTCCCACCCACTGGTTCACTCCCCAAATGCCCACAGTAGTCAGACCTGCGCCTGCCACCATGAAGAACCAGGAACCGCATCCTGGTCTCCCACACGGGTGCATGCGCGTCCTCCACTACCTCACCAGGCGTGTTAGCAGGAAGCTGCATTGCACGTGGACAGCCAGGCTTCAAACTGGCACTGTGCCGCGGGATACTGGCATCATGAGCAGGGGCTCACCCCACTGCCGCAACACCGTCTCTCTTCCCCCAACTTGCTGTGACAGGGTAGCCCTGCTAACCAAAGGCCAGTCTCCTCCGCGGGCCCAGGCCGCGACCCCTCTTGCTTCCCCAGGACCTCGTCACCAGCTGTCTTGTCTACCGCCCGCCAACCGCTTCCCACCCGTGAGCAGGCTCCAGCATCTCCCATCTTGAAAACCACGCCGGTGCCGACCACACCGCACCCTGCCCTTCATCCACTGCCCTACTCTCTGCTCCTCGGCCCGGGAGCGCTCCTTGGCAAGCGCCTTCGCCAGCTGTCTCCATCTCCTTACCTTTCTGTTCACTCTTCAAGCATTTCCCGCACGCCTTGAAATGGCTTCTGTCAAGTCACTGACACCCTCAGCTGCCAGCTCCAGCGAGCGCGTTTCTGTCTTCACCTCCTCACTCTCGCAGTTGGCCGCAGCCCCCCTCTGGAACCACGCCGCTCCCGGCCTCCCCGGCACCACGTCCATGGCTTCCCTTCCACCACCCCTCACGGGGCTCCTTGATCTCCTTTGTTTTTCCCTCTTCCTCCCCCAGCCCCTAGCATCTCTCAAGACTCAACCAGTGTCTGACTGTGGCTAATGTCGAAGGAACATGATGAACGTTTCCTTTGAACCCGAGACGGACCCGTTCAGCTGCCTCCCAGGCAGCCAAGCGGCACCCCAGCTGCACTAAAATCTTCGTCCTCTCCCGCTGTCCCACCCGTGTTCCTCAACCCAGGGCGTGGCAGAACCCATCCAGCTGCTCAGGTGAAAAATTGAGGGATCTCTTCCCCTCACCTTCTATATCCAGCCATTCCAAAGTCCCATTAATACCACTTCCAAAATGCACCTAGACGCCTCCTTTTTTCCATCTCCCTTGTTCCACAACCACTTCCTGCAGCAGTCCCGGCCAGGTCAGGTCCATAAAATAGCCGCGGATCTTCTTTTTCTAAGCAAGAATTAGGGGTGAGTCTGACGCCAGAGGACCCTCACTTCTAGGAGCCTGGTTTGTCCACCCACACACATGGGCAGAGGAGAGTGAAACACGGAACTCTTCATGGATGTGGGTCCCATGCTTGCACAGGCACCGTGCTAATCGTCTCTGAATTGGTCCAATTTTAGTGCATGTGCAGCCAAAGCGGGCACGAGCCACAGATCTTTCTAAAAACAAAGATCACATATTGTTTCGCCTGGTAAAATTCCTCGGCGATTTCCTGATTCACTTCGAATAAAACCTGAATTTTCTGTGATGGCCTACAAGCCCTAGCGAGCCAGCCCCTGCCTACCTCCCCACTGCTGTCTCCTGATCTGTCCCCCTTGTCACTCTGCTCTGGTCCCACCGGTCCCCTCCCAGATCCTCGGCCGCTGGGCTTGTTCCTGCCTTTGGGCCCTCCAGACTCGTACCAGTTCCTTGCTCTCCCTGGAGCTCGTCTTCCTCCTCTTCCCGTGGCGGCTCCTTCTCACCTCCCTGGTCTGAGCTCAGATGTCCCCACCGCCAGAGACTGTCCTTTACCTTAATTTATGATTACCTGTTTACTTGTCTAATTTATTTGTCTCCCCCACCACACTGAAACACCAAGCGGGCAGTGACCATGTCTGGGTTGCTACAGCCAGTCCCGGTACTGTGCACTCGGTAAGGTTTGTAGAATGCACGGGTGTGGTCTTGGATACAGACCTTCCCAGGGATCCAGTGGATTCCGATATGTTTCATCTATTCCCCACCCAGTCATCCATCTACCCATCCATCCACCCTGCACCCGCGGCAGAAGCTGAGCCAGCTGGGAGTAGCGCACAAAGACGCACAGCAGGTGTGCTGCCCACAGAGGGCTCACGGTCTGGGGGAAGGGGGATGCGGCCATGTGCGACGGAGCTGTGAGGAGGAGGCCATGCCGGCTCTCGAGGGGGAGCTGAGGATGCTGTCGGCTGATGCTTCCAAACAGGGGGAAGAAACTGTGGCTTTTCAGCTGGGTGTCAAGCGATGAGTTAGAAACCCAGGGGCATGGAAGAGAGGACGTCCCAGAGAGAAGGAACGTCAGAGTGAAGACAAGAAGCCACTCCTGTGGAGCCCAGGAGCTGTCGAGGGGCTCAGTGCCAGGCTCGGGGGTCTGGACCTCCTCGTGCAGCCTTGGAGGGCCCCTCACAGGGTGT